TCACAGATATTTCTCACAGTTTGGGGAAAATTGGAAAAATTTCATAGTGGGTATTTCTAAGTGATATGGGAGGAAAACTCAAGGGGGTTAAAGTGAGAATGGCAGTAGTTGAATTGTTTTTATATACTTACTTGACTTGTGTAATGTAACCTCTCAAGCACTTTGAGATTGCAGAGTTGGGCGGTTTCTATTTCCTTGACTTCTAATCCTTAAGACCTTGAAAGAGAGCAGTGGTTCCCATCGAGAAAGCTGTGAGCTAATTTGAGTATTTCAGAGAGCTTAATGGAAATCGTATATTAACCCAGATTAAAGATATGGAAATTAAAGTTCCTTTGTCTTTGGCTGGAATCCTGTCAATTCAGTACTTAAATACTAGGTCTTCCTTATTGATTAAATGCTTTGTTAGCAGTTATACTTTTTAATTTTTTTGCAGACGTTAAAATGAATTTACTTAATTCATGCAGAGTCGAAACATGGAGCTTGTGAAAGGAAAAATAAATAATAAGAGGGAGTCTTTGGTTAACAGGTTGATAGAGAATATTTTATTTTATCTTCATTTATTTAAATCCAAATTAGTTAACATACAGTGTAGTATTGGTTTCAGGAGTAGAATTTAATACTTCGTCTCTTACATATGACACCCAGTGCTCATCCCAACAAGTGCCCTCCTTAATGCCCATCACCCATTTAGCCCATCCTCCCACCCACCTCCCCTCCAGCAACCCTCAGTTTGTTCTCTGTACAGAGTCTCTTATGGTTTGCCTCCCTGTCTGTTTTTATCTTCTTTTTCCTTCCCTTCCCCTATGTTCATGTTTTTCTCGAATTCCACGTATGAGTGAGATCATATCATATCTTTCTCCAACTGACTTATTTCGCTTAGTGTAATACCCTCTAGCTCCATCCACGTTGTTGCAAATGGCCAGGATTTCATTCTATTTCATTGCCAAGTAGTGTTCCGTTATATATATATGTATGTATGTATATACATGTGTACACACACACACACCACGTCTTCTTTATCCATTCATCAGTCAGTGGACATTTGGGCTCTTTCCATAATGTGGCCATTGTTGATAATGCTGCTATAAACGTTGCGGTGCATGTGCCCCTTCGAATCAGCATTTTTGTATCCCTTAGAGAAATACCTAGTAGTGCAATTGGTGGGCCATAGGGTAGTTCTATTTTTAATTTTTTGAGGAACCTGCATACTGTTTTCCAGAGTGGTTGCACAGGAATATTTTATTATATGACTTTATTTCTGTATCCATTTACTAGGAGTTAATTGGCTAGTTAGTGCTTAGTTCTTACTTGACTAAATATATAAAAACACCACAATAGCTGTTGTTACTTGTGCCAGAAAGTCAAACTTTTTCATCAACTCTGTTGCTTCTAAGTTTTTTGTTCCTGTTTTGCTTTGATGATTAATAACTTGAAGCAATATTAAAAACATTTCTGTACAGGATAGAGCTGGGCTGGCTCAGTTGAGCGTATGACTCTTGATGTCAAAGTTGTGAGCTCAAGCCCCACGTTGGGTGTAGAGATTACTTAAAATCTTAAAAAAAAAATTCTGGACATATCTTCTTTATGATTGTTTCCCCAACTCTTACAACAGTGCTTGGTGCTCAATAAATGCTTGTTGAATGAAACAAAATACTGTGTGTAAATAGTAATTAAAGTCGAAGTAAACATTAAGATATAAGAGAATTAAAAGAATAATGATGCATTGACACTGAGTACCAGAGTGATTTATGTTAATTTTGAGATCTAAGAGGTAGTAGCAGTACTAGAAGCGCAAATAATACTGTACTTATTCATAAAGGTCTTTTTCTTTGTTGTATTAGGTAGTTGACATTCAGCTTTCTCAAATGGCCAAAATTTTACCTTATAATCTTGTTTTGGTGTGTTTTTTTTAAAAAAGTTATTTTAGTTTAGAGAGAGTGCACTAGCTGGGGAGAGGGGCAGAGGGCAGGGGTGGGGGAATAGGGAAGGAATCTTGAACAGGCTCCACCCTCAATGTGAAGCCCAGTGTGGGACTCGATCCCATGACCCTGCGATCATGGCCTAAGCTGAAATCACGAGTCAGATGCTCAACCAACTGAGCTACCCAAGCGCCCCTTGTTGAATGAAATTATTTCAGACATTCAGGAATCGTATGAAGTGGGTTACAATAGCAAGGAAATTGCTGAGTGACCAGAAGTAGAAAACTGTAGGTCTCTTCCTTACTGGTCCTTCCACCATGTTATCTAGGAGTAGTTATAGATTAAATTAGGGTAGTTTATAACTTCATTACTTCACAATTTTAAGGTCCCTAAGGAGTGAATCCAGGCAAGGAAGCAGATATGTCTGTTAGAGCCTGGTGTTTCATGTGTGGAAGGAAAAACAGTGATGCTTGGGAAGTGAAATTAAATTCTCATGTAAGGCATCTTTGAAGGGACATAAGAGAAAAATATGCTGGCGCTAGAGGATTGTAAAATAAGCCTTCTGGTTTTAATCCAAACCTCAGTATTTACTCAGCTCTATCTCACATTTGGTAACCAAAGATAGTTCCATTTGGAACAGTTCTACAAATGCTTGTGGGATGCCCGCATTATGGCAAACATGGTTTTAAGTGCTAGATCTATACTAGTGAACAAAATATACAAAGTCCCTGGAAATAGAATTAAGAATTAAAAATAAATATATGCTATTTCGGGTAGTAAGAGATACTTGCCTCAGATATCTTTTGCTGTTTAACAAGCTAGCCCAAAATTTCCTGGCTTAAAAGAAATATCTTACTGTCTCTTAACATTCTGAGGGTTGAAAAGGCTCGTCTGCATGATTCTTTAAGTCGTCTTACTTGGGGACCCTCCTTGGCAGCTTACCTGACATGGCTCATTCACCCAACATGGCTGTCAGATGGTGCTGGTCATTGGGTGCTCAGCTGGGCCTCAGTTCTTTTCCCCTTGTCCTCTCCTTGTGGCTTGGGCTTCCCACAGCCTGTGGCCGGGGAAGGGAAAATGAACTACACCTTCAATGGGTGGTGGTGATAAGATTAAATTGCAAAAGAACACACAGGGTGGGAGATAATGCTGTGGCCCTCTACCGAAACAGCCTACCACAGTGCTATTAAAAATATAAAAATCAGGTAGCATACCCAGGAGTTCCATGGATCTGCGTCTTCCTTCAACGGTATTTGGATGTATCAGACCCAGGGATACCCCTTCTTCCGGCCTTCTACCACTCTCCAACCTCTTTTCCAGTCACAACCTTCAGATCCATCTTCTAAGCTATCCGTTGCCTCTGAGACCAGCTAACACTGTGGTTTTTGGTTTTGTATTTATTTATTTATTTATTTATTTTTGAACGTTTATTTATTTTTGGGACAGAGAGAGACAGAGCATGAACGGGGGAGGGGCAGAGAGAGAGGGAGACACAGAATCGGAAACAGGCTCCAGGCTCTGAGCCGTCAGCCCAGAGCCCGATGCGGGGCTCGAACTCCCGGACCGCGAGATCGTGACCTGGCTGAAGTCGGATGCTTAACCGACTGCGCCACCCAGGCGCCCCATTTGGTTTTGTTTTTAAGATTAGTTCCTTATTGCCAAACATGAGCTCCTGGATTTGTCAGAATTATTGCCCTGAGGTGGTGGCTGCTGTCAACCTCCTGGTCAACCTGTATCTGCAGGTTTCCTACACCTACTTCTCTCTGGGCTTATATATCAACCATGATGTTGTGACACTGGCACTTCTACAAGTTAACTGAGGAGAAGTGTGGGGGTGCCCACTGTCTCCTCAAGATGCAAAAACTAGTGGGTGGCCGCACCCTCTAACACAATATGCAGAAGCTGTCCCAAAATGGGTGGGGTGAAACCTTGGACACTAGGGGAGACACTATGGTCTTGGAGAAGAAACTGAACCAGGCCTTTTTGTATCTGCATGCCTTGGGTTTTGCCCATGCAGACCCTCATCTCTGTGATTTCTTGGAGAGGCATGTACTTGATGAGCAGGTGAGACCATCAAGAAGATGGGCAACCACCTGACAAACCTCTGCAAGCTGGCTGGTCCCCAGGCTGGGCTGGGCAGGTATCTCTTCCAAAGGCTCACCCTCAAGCATGACTGAGAGCCTCTGGGGCCCTCTGAGGGGCCCTCTGGCATCCCGGTGGTATCAGGCTTCTGCCTGAGCCTCTCCCTGCAGCCTCTAGGCAGCTTTTTAACTGCCATGGAGCCCTCTCCCAAACCGTGGACCAAATGAAAACAATAAAGCTTTTGCAGCAAAAAATGAAATAAGCAGATCAATAGGAAGAAGGAATGGGGAGCAAAAGATATAGGATTGTATAGGTCAGGTAACGCCTCCCTGATGAAGCAACATTTTAGATACTTGAGAGAATGAGCTATGAGAGCCATAAGGACATCTTAAGGAAGCATATTCCAGGCAGAGAGAATAGGGCATATAGAAACTCTAAGGTAGGAGAATCCTTGGTGTGATCCAGGACTAGCAAGAAGGGCAGTGTGGTGGGGCATGGAGTTAGATTGAGAGAAGCAGATATTGTGGCCAATGGCGAGGGACTGGATGTCCTGTGAGTGAGATGGGAATCTGTTGGAAGATTTTCCGCAGAGAAGTTAAGTGATCTGACTTAAATTTTAAAAGAATCCTGTTGTGAGAATCTTTGGCTCCTGTTTTGAGAATAGACTATGAGAGGACACGAGTGGAGCTAGAGACTCAGGTCAGTAGGCTAGTGCCATGTGAGATGACAGACCTGCTAAGTAGTGAGGCAGGGGTGGGTTTGGGATGCATTTCAGCATGGGAGTGGCAGGATTTGCTGATGAGGGTGGATATGGGGTGAGAAAGAGGGATCGAGGATGACTTCCAAAGTTCGAATTTTCATTTACCAGCGTGGGAAGACTGGGAAGAGCAGGGTGGAGGTGAGGTAGACGCAAGACTTGTACGTTTAGCTTGCGTTGAGGTGAATCTAAGAGGACATCTGGGGAGAAAAAGGTTGCTAATTGTTACTTCCTCATTGCAGGTGTGACGTTGAGTGCTTCAGATCTGGTCACTATGGTACGAGAACGAAAATGCATATTGTGCCACATTGTGTACACCTCAAAAAAGGTAATAAATAGAAGAGGGAGAATCCAAGGCTTTTGTGACTGATTTTTTTTTCCCCCAGAGACATCACGTGGAATTTGTAGATAGGCGAAAGCTTTTAATGGTGTCTTGTTTCCTAAACCATAGTCTCATTCCACTGGTTTCTTTTTTGCTGCCTCATGAAGCCAATAACTGCATTATTAAATCTCTACCCAGAATTTGAAGATACTCAAAAATCAATAATAAATAGTTACTAATTTAGTCAGTAACTAGTTACGGAGAAGATGCCTTAAAATTCACTTTATTTGAAGTTATACTATTATCTGAGGAGCTAAGGATATAGCATTTGTTGTCTGTACCCGCATTCTGCTTCTGGCCCATGCTTGTGAAAAGTGTAGCACATCAAAACTGGTGTTAACAATACCCTAGATGTCCACAAGGTGGGAGTGTTGCTCAGAGAAAAAACACATCTTTCAGAACTGAAAAGAACTTGTACCTTAGGGAAATTGACTGCAATTTGTCTCACTTTTTGCTTTTTCTTGACTGTGTCGTTTGTTTTTTGTTTTTTTTTTTTTAATTTTTTTAACGTTTATTTATTTTTGAGACAGAGACTGAGCATGAATGGGGGAGGGTCAGAGAAAGGGAGACACAGAATCTGAAACAGGCTCCAGGCTCCGACCTGTCAGCACAGAGCCCGATGCGGGGCTTGAACTCACGGACCGAGAGATCATGACCTGAGCCGAAGTCGGCCGCTTAACCGACTGAGCCACCCAGGCGCCCCTCGTTTGGTTTTTAAGTAGTGCTGCTAGCTAGAATGCTGAGAGGTTTTTCTCTAAGCTTTTTTTTTTTTTTTTTTTTAATTTTTTTAATGTTATTTAGTTCTGAAAGAGAGAGGCCAGAGCACGAGCAGGGGAGGGGTAGAGAGAGAGGCAGACACAGAATGCAAAGCAAGCTTCACGCTCTGAGCTGTCAGCACAGAGCCTGACGTAGGGCTCAAACTCAAGAACTGAGAGATCATGACCGGAGCTGAAGTTGGACACTTAACCAACTGAGCCACCCAGGCACCCCTCTAAGCTTTTAAGATGTCCTGGATTGTCACTGAAAATTGAGAGAACTGGGAAGATTATCATGAGCTAAGTTAGTCAGAGAAGTTTGAGTGAACCTAGGAAGATGTTTGGGAGAAAGATGGTTTAAAGAAATAAAGAGAAAGATATTTTAGGTGGAATAACAACATGTACAAAAGTGAAGAGGTAGAATGGAGTATAACAGTTCTAGGAGTCTATCAGAAGGCTTATCCGATTAAAACAGTTTTGTTTTGGGAATAGTGGGACTGCAATATAATTTGTAATTTAAATGCAGATAGTTATAAACCATGTTGAATGCCAGGCTGAGGGGTTTGATTATGATCCATCCAGTAGGCTCGGGTAAAGAAATGTTTTTTGTTTGTTTGTTTTTCCTGTTTGGGATTTCTGTTAGTGATGGAAAAATCGGTTAGGAGTTTATTTATTTGTTCATTAATATTTTTTTAAAGTTTATTTACTTAGAGAAAATGCAAATGGGAGAGGGGCAGAGACAGAGGGGGAGAATCCCAAGCAGGCTCCATGCCGCCAGCACATGGAGCCCCACATGGGGCTTGAACTCATGAACCCACGAGATTGTGACCTGAGCCAAAATCAAGAGTCTGACACTTAACCAACTGAGTCACCCAGGCACCCAGTTGGGATTCTGAAATCATGTTTAATAATATGGCTCATATCTTTTACAAAAGTAAAAGAACGATTCTTCTAGTTTAAAATTTTTTTGACCAAGGTTTATGCTAATTTGTAATAAGTAGAAATTCCTTATGGCTCCTTGCAGATTGGAGGGAGATGGGAACTAGAGAAGATGTGAGAAGGATAGGCAGACACTCAGGTATGGTTTCAGACTTTCCTGGTGTAGGAGCCCTATCTTGTGATATCTCATAATTTTGCCATTTTAAGTCTTTGGACGTTTCTTCTACTCTAGTTTAAAACGTTTTTGTCTCTTTATATTTTTCCATGGGTCATAATGAAGTTAAATTAAGAGCTGTGATTGATTACCTACTCCTGCCTTAGGAAATGCCAATGATAGGTTTCTTTTTTTTTTTTAATATTTGTTTTTGAGAGAGAGTGAGCGAGCATGAGCAGGGGATGGGGGGAGGGAGGTCAGAATTTCTGAAGCGGGCTCTGAGCTGACAGTTGAGAGCCCGATGTGGGGCTTGAACTCACGAACCATGAGATCCTGACCTGAGCCTAAGGTGGATGTCTAACCGACTGAGCCATCCAGGTGCCCTGTCAATCATAGGTTTTTAAGTGAGGGAATGTGTGATTTAAGTGTTAAGATTAATGTGGTGTTGTGGTGCGTGGGTGGCTCAGTCATTTGAACCTCCAACTTTTGATTTAGGCTCAGGTCATGATATCGAGCTTCGTGGGTTCAAGCCCCACCTCGGGTTCCGTGCTGACAGTACGGAACCTGCATAGGATTCTGTCTCCCTCTCTCTCTGCCCCTCCCCTCACATGTGTTTTCTCTCTCTCTCTTTTCAAAAATAAATAAATATTAAAAAAAAAGTTAATGTGGTCTAAGAAATTAGCAGAATGGGTTAGTTGAAAGGAATAACTCTGATAGTTTTAGATAGATTATGAATAACTTATGTTGAAGCAGTGCTTTCCTCTAGTCTCCCAAACTAGCATAACCCTAATTTCTCCAAATATACTGTGGAGAAGAAAAAGAACCTAAATGTCCTAAGTATGGGGAAAAGCTGTATACTGCATCCCTGAGCATTCTGATGCTCGTTAATTTATGAAAGGCTGAGAAGCCCTGGAGTTAAGAAATACTAAAAAAAAAAAAAATAATAAATTTGTTGTTTTCAGTGTTTTCTAAATTTGTTCAACTGCCAAATCTTTTAAAAAAAAAATTCTTTCCTCCTTCTCCTTTAGAAAATATAACATTGTTAATATAGAAGAACTAAATAGAAGCTTGATAACTGAGCAAGTATGCGTTTGGGGCTATTACTCTAATACCGTGCCCATGGATCTTTCCTAGTTATTTTGAAAGCTCAGTTGTCACACTATTTGCATTCATTCCTTGGAGCAGGATGGGAGAGGATTTCAGATGTAAATTTAGGAAAAGATTTGTGAAGTGTTTTAGACAATCAAGTCATGTTAAAACAAGTTTTGAATGATACCATTTTTATAACTGAAATAGAATATAGAATTAATTTTTATATCAGAGAGGATGACCTATTTCAGTGAATGGTGTTTTGGTCAGAATGGTTGCAAGAAACAGAGGGACTTAAATTTAGCTCAAGAAAAGGGAATTTGGCACATGTAAATCTCATATAAGGGAAAATTGAACAAAGGCTTGCATAGGGATTTGAGTAGGTGTTGTATATTGTTCATGGATTTTTTTCATTGTTTATTATGTCACTAACTTGACTCAGCTTTCAGCTATGTAAGTGTACCTTGTAATTAGTGGCCAATCAGTTGTAGGTAGAAGGACGTCACATGTAAAGCCATCCTCCAAGTGAAGCATTTGTAGAGATAGGAAGGAAATGATGGTCATCTTCAATAAAATTGTCATTTAAGGGATGTATTTTGAATCACATCCCTGTTTGTCACACTGTAGTAAATAACTTAAAGTAAGAATAGGTTATTGAGTTGTACTCTTTGACAAATGAATTGTATATAATGAGAAATCTGAATGCACTAGATGGTTACAGTGCTTTGCTGTCAAAAACGTCAGGATCTGAGTTCTAGTTTGACCACTTGATTATCTCTGACTCTGAGAGGGCAAGACTGAATATTTTCACACTTACTCCTTCAGTGTCTAAGTCTGTACTTGGCATATAATAAGCAGTGATAAGTATTTGGTGAATAAATGAGTTAGCTCCTGTGTATCCTTGTATTCTTTTGAAATTAATAATATTCCCTCAGCAGTGTTGTGCAGTTCATGTGAAGAAATGTTTGAGGCACTTAAACACAGGGCACAGTTAATAGTAATAGTCAACAATTATAGTAGTCCTTTTATTATACATGTCAATAGCCATTCTTTAATTATGTCGTGCTGCATATGTATACTTGCCTGTGACAAAGGGATAGACATTTACAGCTTTTTGAGTTTTTGGAGGTGTGTGTGCATATGTTTTTAAGTGGAAGCTCTTCCTGCAGATTTTATTTTCTTCCCACTAAGAATGGGATGGAGGGAGGAGAGAACCTCGCAAATTTTCAAACATTTCATCAGAATCAAGCAAATCAGTGGAGGAGATTGGGCAGTGAAAATGAAAGCATGATTGAGCTGCTGTGTTCAAAGCAGTTTTCAAAGACTTCATAATCAACCATGGAGAAGTTCTGTATCTGTAACTTCTACCTAGAATTGATATATCCATCTGTTCATTCAGCAAATGTCGACAACCAGATGCTAAGCCCTGGCCAAGACTTGAGTAACAGTTGGAATTTGCTCTTGAGAAACTATCAGTTGAGTAGGGAAAGAAAATCTGGAGAAAAGTAGCCAAAGAGCTGAGAAGTTAAGTGATTTCAGAGATTTTTTTTTCTTTTTTAGATAATTGTAGTTAAATTCTTTATTTGGGGATAGAATTTAACCCACATAGTTTATCTTAAATATTTTGCCCCCCCCCAAGACAGTATACTTTCTAACCTTTTTGGAAAGCCATTTAATTGTTTTTTTTTTTTTCTTAACAGTTCTTTTATTTAAGAATGAAATATGCCCGGGGCGCCTGGGTGGCGCAGTCGGTTAAGCGTCCGACTTCAGCCAGGTCACGATCTCGCGGTCTGTGAGTTCGAGCCCCGTGTCGGGCTCTGAGCTGATGGCTCAGAGCCTGGAGCCTGTTTCCGATTCTGTGCCTCCCTCTCTCTCTGCCCCTCCCCCGTTCATGCTCTGTCTCTCTCTGTCCCAAAAATAAATAAACGTTGAAAAAAAAAAAAAAAAGAATGAAATATGCCCAAAACATAGCTGAAGAATTATGAGGAACTGGTTTCACTATTGAATTGAGAAGGGTAACCATGGCAAGGAACTTGAACCCTAGTTGTTGATTGAGTAAAAACAGAGGGATTTCTTTTCCCAAAACAACCCCCCCTTAGTTTAATCTGCTTTCTTTAATTTTGAAGGAGATGGACGAACACATGCGGAGCATGTTGCATCACAGGGAGCTTGAGAACCTGAAGGGCAGGTATGGGAACGGCTGTATTCCATAACTTGTGAATGTCGTGGGAGCTGAGTGCTGAGGGTGCCTGTTAGCTTATTTCATAGTAATCCTTCATAAGTGAATATTGTCCTATGACATAGAACTGTCTTTTAGAATTATTGATGAATATAGTAGTTTTTTTTGGCATTCAAAAAGGGTAAGTCTTTGTGTATCTAGAATGTGTAGAATTCACAGAAGCTCTAACAAGCAGATTGCAACAAAGGTGGGTGGGGATGGGCTGGTTCCTCATTAGTAAATATTCTCATCCAGACACACCAGTCTTGAAACTAAGACATTTCATGTTAATTGTCTCAGCAGTATTACAAATTATTTAAAAAAAAATTTTTTTTTAACGTTTATTTATTTTTGAGATAGAGAGAGACAGAGCATGAATGGGGGAGGGTCAGAGAGAGGGAGACACAGAATCTGAAACAGGCTCCAGGCTCTGAGCTGTCAGCACAGAGCCCAACTCGGGGCTCGAACTCACGGACCGAGAGATCATGACCTGAGCCGAAGTCGGCCGCTTAACTGACTGAGCCACCCAGGCGCCCCTCAGCAGTGTTACAAATTATTACCTGCCATAAACCTTTAGAGTTAGTGGGATAGTCTGAGAAGTCCAAAGTGCGCTAAATGGCAGCAAGTCTCTCATTAGTGTAAATAAAATCTGAGTGCAAACTTTGAATATTTAAGAATGCTGTTTTGTGATGCAAAAGTTGAGATGTTTAAAGAAAGAAAATCTAATAAGCACCTTTAAAAAATTAAATACAGCATATGTGTGTATTCCATGTCTCTCCCCCCTCCCCCCACATCTGTGGTTCTTTTTTGATGTTTTTCACTTACTTGAATTTGAGATTTGGAAACAGTATGGAATAGAGAAAGATTGGGAAACTGAGAAATATTAATTTTATCTTTTTTTTTTTTTTTTTACTTTGTGTCTTATTGCATGAATAATAGATACAGGCTTTGATCATGATGCCCGTGTAAGTCATTCGAAGTTACTTGTGTTTTAAGTACTATGGTTTTAGATTGTGTGGGCAAATTAATATGGTAGTAAACTTTCAGCGTATGTTTAGCCTATTAGTGGGGTTTTTCCATGGTCTCCGTTCCCTACTGTGTGAAGGTTAGGTCTAAACAACAGTATAAAAGAGGCTTCCATTTAGATTTAATGTGGAGAATTTTTATCATAAAACCTTGAATATATGTAATCTTTAAGTCATTATCATTGGAAACCTATGAAATATTGTCAACCTTTTTTTTTTTAAATTTTTTTTTTTTAACGTTTTTATTTATTTTTGAGACAGAGACAGAGCATGAACGGGGGAGGGGCAGAGAGAGAGAGGGAGACACAGAATCGGAAGCAGGCTCCAGGCTCCGAGTCATCAGCCCAGAGCCCGACGCGGGGCTCGAACTCACGGACCGTGAGATCGTGACCTGAGCCGAAGTCGGACGCTTAACCGACTGAGCCACCCAGGCGCCCCTGAAATATTGTCAACCTTTGATTCTCTAAATGTGGATTATCCTAATTACCTCATCCCATTTCCAGCAGACTTCCTTTTGGAATTCACCTTTCTCTGGGCTGTTTACCTGCTACCTGACTATATTATAAATCAAACAACACATATGAGGTCAGTAAATCTAGTCCTTAAGAGAGAAGCCATTTTTTTTCCAAGGCTAATGCCTTGTTTTGTTCATACATCCACTAATCAGGTATTTAAAACATTAAAAAAAATTTTTTTGATTACTTAAGATTCATGTTTAGTCAATACAGAATTGTAAAAAGTAAAAAAGGTAGAAATCCTCTCACCCATATATTACTCCCCACCCTGCCCCAATCCTACTCCCTTTTTACAAGAAAGTCATCAGTTTAGTGTATATCTTATCCAAATCTCTTTCTGTGTCTATGCATAGATTTATATTTATATGAGACATATATGGTTCTGTCTTACTAACGTAACTGAACTACATGCCATGTATTTATTGTGCAGTAACTTTTTTCCTCTACTCCTGCCCATCAACTGAACTGTGCTTTGGGGATTTTGTGTATTTCCAGTTATTTGGAGCATAGTCAAATAATCAAGGAGAAAGCATTTAGAAGCCTCAAAGCTGACAATAAAAATGTCACCCTTATCATCCAAACTCATTTTATTTAGAGGGATATACTTTAGTACTTATTTATTCATATTTTAGACACAGTGCTAACAAGTTTTCTATGGCTTCCTGGCCTGTAATAAATTATAAGGGAGAAGGCAAAGCAGATAACAAGGAAAAACAGCTGATGAAACTATAAAAAACAAAATTTCAAAAATCATTTACTTACTTGGAGCATTTACTGTAGAGACAAACTGTTAATCCCTAATTTGCCCCATAGGGACAAATAGTTACCAGTCATGATTTTTCCTTCCTCTCCTCAGTTTGTGATTATTTTCTGTGGAATTCATGTTTGATTACTGGCTTTCTGATGTTCAGACTATCTGTTTCTCTTTATATGTGTATCACTCTAATTTTTAGTTGTGATCTGGTTAAGGAATGTAAAGAGCATACTTTTTAGGTTTTGAATACAAACTTGATTGAGAAGTAAGACATTCTTATGTGGTTCACAATTGTGGACATCTGGAGCATTCCCCTATTTTTTCCCCAGTCTGCTTTTTCAGATGCGTGGCCTGTTTCCACAGATAAATGCTATTACAAGGGCACGACTTTATTTATCAACCAGCTGTTGTGGTATAGTTAGAGCAAGCTTAATAAAGAAAAGCTTATGGGTAGAATATCTTAAGGCTTTGCCTTTCACACATGAGAGGAAATTGTGTGGTAACAGGATGAAGTTAATTTGGGCCCTCCTTTAAATGTCCTGAGGACTGTTTTTGCTTTTATTAGTCAAGAAGTAAAGCAGTACTTTTTCCCCAACAATGACTTACGTAGTTATACAAAATAGTAAGTATTTTAACTGGTTATTTGATAGAGAATTGGGAAATAGCATCATTAAAATATTATTTAATTTGCCATGAGCTTTTTAAAATACGTGGTTTCCCTAACATCGTATGTGGAGGCATGAATGCATATTGTATGTAGAACAGATAATATGCCTGCCTCCAGACACAGACGCATTTGCATTTTTAAGAGATGTGGTTGTCCTAACCCCCTGTTCTTTCCCAAGATAAATGTGGATTCTCCTTTTTCTCATTTTGATGTTTCTTGCAAAGATTCTTTCTCCCTCCCCCCCCCCCCCACTGTCTCTCTTTTTTAAACAAGAATTCATCTATAAGAAAAATGTTAGGGACTTTTGTTTTGGATAGTTTGCTTTTAGTGTTAACCTTTATTTATATTGCACTTATTGCCTGTACCCTTTTGGGCAGGATCTCTTCAGGTGTTTTTCTATTAAATACGACTTTATTAATTTTTAAAAATTAAATATAATTTTAGTACTATGGTTACTATCCTTTCTTACGAGGAAATCCCATGTGTTTAAAAAATCTGTGTTTGAGTGTTTGTTTCACATCCAGCATATGCCTGTGCTTTGGGGATCGCAGTGTGTGGGTTTATGATTATGGATGTTTATTTTTAACAGAGTTAAATACTGTCTATACTGCATTCCTTAATATTTTAAACAGTATGGTCTTCCAGTAATATCTGTAAAGAGAGTGGGATTTTGGTGGTTTGGATGTGAGAAAAATTCTATCCATTTTAGAAGTAAGGGTATAATCAGAAATTTTATTTAAGAATACCTTTTTGGGGGTGCCTGGGTGGCCCAGTCAGTTAAGTATCTGACTCTTGGTTTCAGCTTAAGTCATGATCTCACAGTTTTGTGGGTTCGAGCCCTGCATCCGGCTCTATGCTGGCAGTGCACAGAGGATTCTTTCTCTTGGGATTCTCTCTCTCCCTCTCTCTCTGCCCCTCCCCTGCTCACCCTGTCTCTGTCTCTCTTAAAAAAAAAAACAAAACAAAACAACAAAAAAACAAAACTTTAAAAACTTAAAAAAACAACAACAAAAAACCCTTTTGGAATGATGTCTCTGGTACTACAATATACGGTTTAGTATTCTGTAAGTTTTTAGGGAGAAAAGTGGACTAAAACATTTTTCATAGTTTTAGAGAGTTTAGAGCCAAGAAGATTTTCTAACCAGAAAATTCACTTGATTCGAATTTTCTTTTTGACTTCATGATTTAAATTATAAAACATTTTTTTTTTAATCAAAGCATAGTTGACACACAATGTTACATTAGTTTTAGGGGTACATCATAATGGTGCAAGACCTCTGTAAGTATGACTCGAATTTTGATTATAATGTAAATTCTATATTCTAGGTTAGTTGGGGTTTTCAGACTCTTCTGATGGTAGGTAGATTTATATTTACATATTTTTAATTTCTTTCTGTGTTGCCATGAGAAAAGGCTTGATTTCTGTTACAAGTTAACATCCACTTTTGTTTTCTTGAATGTTTTTATTTATTTTTGAGAGAGAGAATGTGAGTACTAGATCGGGAGGGTCAGAGAGAGAGGGAGATACAGAATCTGAAGTAGGCTCCAGGCTCTGAGCTGTCAGCACAGAGCCCGATGTGGGGCTCAAACTTACGAACTGTGAGATGGTGACCTGAGCTGAAGTTGGACGCTTAACCGACTGAGCCACCCAGGTGCCCCTTGTTGTTGTTGTTTTTGTTTTGTTTTGTTTTTTTAAATTTTTTTTTTAACGTTTATTTATTTTTTTGGGACAGAGAGAGACAGAGCATGAACGGGGGAGGGGCAGAGAGAGAGGGAGACACAGAATCGGAAACAGGCTCCAGGCTCTGAGCCGTCAGCCCAGAGCCCGACGCGGGGCTCGAACTCACGGACCGCGAGATCGTGACCTGACTGAAGTCGGACGCTTAACCGACTGCGCCACCCAGGCGCCCCTGTTTTTGTTTTTAAATAAATGTTCAGGTGGTCTGTAACAGAAACCATCTTTTGGTAAATGAAGTGCTCAGTTTTGAGGTTCTCTTCTGGTTAATTGATGTGAATTCCACCATGTCTTTATAGATATACTTGAGGGGAGGATGGAGCATTGTTGTGCATGGTGTGTGTCTGTCTTATCAAAGACAGCCTGTCTTCTTGTGTTGGTTTTTTAAAGGTTTATCTATTTTTGTGAGCAGGGGGCGGGGCAGAGGTAGAGAGAGCGAGGGACAGAGGATGCTGACAGCAGCGAGCCCCGTGCAGGCCTCACAAACTCACAAACTGTGAGATCATGACCTGAGCCAAAGCTGAATGCTCACCTGACTGAGCCACCCAGGCACTCCTGAATTTTATTTACCTTTTTTAAGATTGGCAAAGGTAGAGAATTTAATCACTGGAGAAAGCACCAACTTAATTCTACATAACTACCCTTACCATTGTTTTCCATGCTTTTCATGATTACCTCCATAACTGTTCCTCCTTCCTGCTTTTCTTTCTTTTGCTTTTAGCTGAAGGTGGTATTTCAGTTGGTGGCTTAGGTTACCTACCTAGGACACTTTTCCCTGGGTACCTCTCACGTACAGATGGGATATACATATTAAGAAACTTCTTATAAAATAAATAAATAAGTAAGTAATAGAGATTGGCATAGGAAGTACAAAAATATCACTTGTGTAAACCCAAGACAAATGATACAGAGGTAAGCCCATCTGGATTATTGAATGGATTTTACTGTCCATTCCTTACACTTGTGGCCGTGGTGTTCAGATGTTTCCCATCAATGACTGCATAGACAGCTGAACCAATCAAGGGATTTCAGGAAGCTAAAAAACCAGTTAAAACACTCATCTACTACAGCTGTGGATGTCGATTCAAGATTTTGGTTTCTTAAAACTGGCCAAATATGAGAGTTACCATTAACTGTGTAAACTAAAAGGAGAAAAAAAAAAAAACTGCTCAATTTTCTTTCTGAACAAGAACTGGTTTTGCTTCTCTCTAAACTTTTGCATTTTCTGAAACTTGAGAAAAACCATTTGCCTAGCACAGCTGTTAACTTCCTACAAGTGAAATGCTTTCCATTCCCTTTAAATAAGCCCTTCTGAAGCAGAATGTAGGTCACATGTATCATCCAGCCCAAAAAAGTTTGCTGAGACTCCTCCTATCATTTGCTCTGGGGTCCGGAATCTGCACATTCCAGGCAGAGCTCCAGCCGGGTCCGATTTAGTTACCACGTTGGGATTGGTTAGGCTGCTTGCTCTTTTCTCCACCCCTAAACTTTCACTGGGAGAAAGCTCTTGAGCCTGAGATAAAATGGAAGCGCTGTCACCAGGCTTCTGAGTGCAGCTGGCATCATGGGTGTGCTCTAGAGCAACTTCTGTTTGCTCTGAGCCCCCTGCCCTGCCTCCCCTTTCACCATGTTTCCTCTGGCAAGATTTTAAGTACAGCAATTCAAGAAGATTTCTCCTCCTAAACTACATTATTCTGAAGTGTATTGCCTCTTGATTGCTGGAAAAGAATCTTAAGTTCATTTCAAAAATAACTTATGAACAAACTTATTAAAAGTGATGAAAGGAGCATTGAAATTGATCAGCACTAATCTTTCACTGTGCCCAAGTGTGCGGTGTTTTTCAGAGGAAACCATACCAGATCTGGTGAGTGTGCCATGCCAGTGGGCAGAATTGAACGTCCCTCATCTCCCTCTTTTCCTAGGGACAGTAGTCATGAGTGCCGAGTGTGCGGGGTCACAGAAGTGGGTCTTTCTGCATATGCAAAGCACATTTCTAGCCAGTTGCACAAAGATAACGTTGATGCCCAAGAGAGAGAAGATGATGGAAAGGGAGAAGAAGAGGAAGAAGATTATTTTGACAAGGAACTCGTTCAGTTAATAAAACAAAGGAAAGAACAAAGTCGGTGAGTAATTATTTTGATTTTTAAAAAGTCTGTCTGAAACAGTGTGGTAGAGAATACATCTTCCATTTCCGTACTTTTCATCTAGTAACTTTCAAACTTATTTTAATTGCAAAGGTTAGCTTGAGGTTGCTGTCTTATGCATGAAATGTCAGTGGAATCCTCTCTTGAACTACTGTACTATCTGCTTACAGAAAAAACAAACTCAGTATTATCCCTCCATAAAAGTTAGCTATAGGTGCTACATATCTGAAATTTTTACTGTGTTGATAACCATGTTTAAAACTGGCTTTATTCCAGTTTTTTTTTGAACACCAGTGAATGGTTTTATTTGATACCCAGAACGTCTAGTGGAAAGGTATTAGTGTATAAGCTTCCTTCATATATATTGTATTTCTTATTCTATCCGTCAGTAAAAAAATGTTTTGCCCCATGTGAATTAACATGGTGCTTCTACCAAATGTGATTTATTCTTCATTATTTAGTGTTTCAGTAAGTATTTACTGAATACATTTGTATCTTAAGTGTGACAATGTCAGGATCATTTGAGCAATATAAGTTTTCTAGCTGTACTACATAATTTTATACCTGCATCTATAATTCGGGTATTAGGCTTTTGTATTTTTACATTACTGAGTTGTGGCCTAAAGAGTTCAAGCAGAAATTTTCAGATATGAGTAAGAGAGAGAACCATTTAAGAGGTTGGGTGATTTTTCAAGTCCTAGAATATAATGAGAAACGTTATACGTTCTAATATAAAATTTTAAAGATTCTTTCTGAGTACTAGTTATACCAGGTATGCAGTCTGTATTCAGTTAGTGGTTTAGTATAAAAAGGAAGTAGTCTTTACTACTTGTACTATATGCTACAAGTGTTTTGAACAAGTTCTTGAAGGAGACTTTGTTAGTCTTAAAATGTCAGTAGCACCTGGTTCTTAAACCCGTTTCGCTGCTTAGTCCTTCAAATGACATTGTTACTACTTTCAGTATAGCTGTAGTTTATTCTTGTTTTAGGGTGTTGAAGCCTCTAGGAGGCTAACTTTTATTTTTGTCTTACGCGTTTGTGCCATTATTAGCTTATCTGTGTAAATGATTAAACATTAAGTCAGAAGGTAAAAGAGCTCAGTAAATTAGACATTCACATTGTAGTTAATATTCTTTGAATATTCTGATATGCTTCTTTGGTGATGCATTTATAGTATCTATTATTTCTTCACATTTTTTTCTTTTTTCCTTCATGAGATTTTTTATTTAGATTGCTTTTTCTGGGCTATGGATTTAGCTGCATGCCATTGTCCCCGCGATCTAGCCAATTCACACTGATCTAGGAATTCTATTCTGTGACAGATTTGTTGCCCAGTTCTGGATCCCATTAGTGTAGCCAAGTCCATAATCTCCTTGGATGTCAAAAGTGTATAGTGCTTAGAAACAAAAGATAAAAGCAATTTGGTCAGTGGTGTTAAAAAAAAATCCTGCACATGTATGTAATAACACTTGTCACTTGGCGACTTAGGGTCTCCTGTTTAGAAATGGTTGTAATTCATAATGAAGGTGGATGTTTGAACTTTCAAGTAAATTAACTTTGAATTCCATCTTGTGAAAAAGGAAGAAATTCCAATTTGTGCCCAAAATGTTAGAGACATTAGAAGTTTTTAGAACCAGTTAGAGTCATTACGGAGTTTAAGTCAAGTTAAGAGGAGGGAGCCCAATAGCAGAAACTTAGTTTGGGGATTTTCAGTTCATCAAGGGCTAGCAGTAAAGAGTGTAGACTCTAGAGTCAGTCTGCCAAACAGATCTCTCCTGTACCACTTGCTGGCTTTCTAACTCTAGGCACGTTACTCTGCCTCTCTAATGCTCTGTTTCTTCATCCAAAAAGTAGGAATAAGAGGAATAATTGCTTCAGAGCTGTGAAAACTAAATGAGATAATCTACATAAAGTGCTTAAAATGCCTGACAGTAGGAACTCGATAAGTTTTAGCTAGCATTATTCGATTTTTTGAGCACCTACCACACGTGTTAAGCACTATGCCAGGCATACCACAGGCAGTTTATAGAGGGAAGTGATTTTACACCTATTCCTGTGATGTTTACTTAAGTCTGTTCACATTTCTGTGGGCTCCTTGTCTAACACGAATAGTTCAAACAGCTGTAGCTTTATAAAAACCTCTAGCTCATGAAGCTCCTTATAGCACTGATTGTGGGTACTGCTTATTTGGTATGTGCTATTTTACTCCTGTTGGTGACCTTATTTTCTCAGCTAGGTTGTAAGTCTTTCAGGAACAGGAACTATATATAAAAGTTTTCTTCCACAACTAACAGTCATTGAATATGTGCTGAATAAAGTGTTTATTAATGAAAGTGATAATGCAAAGTGAAATCTTAGCATTTAAAATAGGTTAAGAAACTGGGTTTTTCAGAAAGAATCTATGGCTGGAAAAATCCGCAGTATTAAGAGCAGTGGAACTTAGGTTGTATTAACTATGATAACTAGCCAAAGCTACAAGATACAATTATGCTTATTTTCAAAAAGCTACATAATGTGAAAATAATAATTGGATGATGGGGCAAAAGTCCCAGAACATGCTAAGAAAAGCAGGAGCAGGAAAAGGAGGATAGCATAAATGTGTCAGATTTTTAATATTTCTGGAGTGATAGCAGAAATGGCATATCGTTTAATATCTGCATCCATAAACTGTGAGATATAAGTTTAGCAATATCATTTAAAGACGGGAAACAGCCACTACTAGAAATAAAAATAGACTACCGTATGTTCTAAGTAGCCGAGGAGATAGGTAGAGGAAAGTTTGATGGGTTATGCCTTTTAAGGAAGCATGATAATTACTTTAAATCACTAATGGAGAACTGTTTTTCTTCCAGACAAGATGAACCTTCCAACAGCAGCCAAGAAATAAACTCTGATGACAGGCGACCCCAATGGAGACGAGAAGACCGAATCCCTTACCAAGACAGAGAGAGCTACAGTCAGCCAACATGGCATCATCGCGGACCTCCTCAGCGAGACTGGAAGTGGGAGAAAGATGGCTTTAATAATAGTAGGAAAAACAACTTTCCACATTCTTTGAGGAATAATGGTGGACCAAGAGGATGTTCCGGGTGGCATAAGGGTGTTGCAGGAGGCTCCGCGACTTGGTTTCACAACCATAGTAATTCTGGAGGTGGTTGGCATGCAAATAGTGGAACAGTAGATTGGAATCATAGTGGTACAGGAAGGAATTCCAGTTGGCATTCTGAAGGAACAGGTGGCTTTTCCAGTTGGCATATGAACAGCAGTAACGGAAACTGGAAATCCAGTGTACGTAGTACAAATAGTTGGAATTACAGTGGCCCCGGAGACAAATTTCAGCCAGGCAGAAACAGAAACTCTAACTGTCAGATGGAAGACTTACCTATGCTGTGGAATAAGAAATCTAAGTCTAACAAATACAGTCAGGATAGATACAGTTGGCAGCGGCAAGAAAGCGACAAAGTTGGTGTGGCTGCCACATACAGAGGGCCTTCTGAAGGATTTACAAGCGATACATTTCCTTCAGAAGGCTTACTTGACTTCAATTTTGAGCAGCTAGAAAGCAAAACTACTAAACAAACAGATACCATAGCTTCCAAAACTGGTGGGAAGAACAGCAGTGTAGCAAGGGAAAAGCTCCGCCGCTGGACTCCTTACCCTTCCCAGAAGACTCTGGATTTACAATCCGCAATGAAAGAAGGCGCTGGAAACAAGGCAGAAATGATAGATAAGCCTTTCTTTGGCTTTAGCTTGACAACCACAGGAGCAGCAGAGCCCCAGAATGATGGAAAAAGTAACTCCCCGACGCTGAAAACACAAAAAGAAACACATACTGGATTGCTTAGTCACAAAGCCCCTTCTGACTGCACTGCTCCCTATGAGGCGGTGAGAGATTGCCCCGTCACAGAGAAACACGAACAAGAGCTTAACTTAAGTAAGATGCCCTCGTTGAAATCTGCACTCCTTCCAATTCCAGTCACTAAATCAGTTCCCCAGAACCCAGATTTAAAGAATCCCTCAAAAAACACCAAAACAAATTCTTTTTTTCCTGGAGAACACTCAAATCCCTTGAACAAACCCACTGTGGCAGACAGTCATGGGTCTTACATAACCAAATTGCAAAGTGCATGTCCTCGTGTTTTAAAAGGGAATAAAAGTACATTTGGCACTCAGGTGGAACCTGATAAAAATGTAAGTGATACATTACAAAAAGCCAAAGAGGTGCTACAGTGTCATGAATCACTGCAAAATCCACTCCTTAGCACTTCTAAAAGGACCAGGAACTATGCAAAAGCAAGTAGGAATGTAGAAGAGTCTGAAAAAGGATCTTTGAAGATAGAGTTCCAGGTACGCACATTAGAAGATGAAAGTGATGGGGAGCTATCTGACACAGAAAAGCATGGAACAAAAATTGGAGCCCTGGGTTCTGCACCTACAGAAATTTTATCCTGTAGCACTCACATCACTGATGAGAAAGACGGGGATGAGCAAAACCTGAAAACATGTAGAAAACTATCCACTAACGCATGTAATTCAACAGTTCATCAGAAAGAACCTGAGTTACAAATGACGTCTGCAGCCAGTCCACACTCTGGCTTACTGCTAGACTTGAAAACTTCTCTAGAAGATGCACAGGTTGATGACCCTGTTAAATCTCATGTGTCTTACGCAACAGAAGGTTTCGAGAGTGCTAGCTTGGATGCAGAGCTTCAAAAAAACGATATCGGTCCGTCCTCAGGCCCTCTTCTGCCTGACCTCAGTAAGCTTGGCTTTCCTGCCTCTCTCCAGAGAGATCTAACCAGGCACATCAGTTTAAAGAGCAAAACTGGAGTGCACCTTCCTGAGCCAAACCTCAATAGTGCTCGCCGCATACGCAATATCAGTGGTCATCGAAAGGGTGAGACGGAGAAGGAGTCTGGGCTCAAGCCAACCCTTCGGCAGATTCTAAATGCATCCCGGAGAAATGTCAACTGGGAACAGGTCATCCAGCAAGTAACCAAGAAAAAGCAAGAGCTAGGCAAAGGCTTGCCCAGGTGTGTGCTTCTTTTTAGTGTCCATTTCTCTCTCTTTTTTTAAACTTAACCCTTTGCCCCTGGCCAAGAGAATTCTACTTGTTGTATTTAATTAAATGCTTGCAAAAAATACATGTTGTAGATGTCTGGTTTAAATATTAAAGAGTGACTGCTACTCTCTAACAACGCAATAAAGTGTTTCCTAACAGGGAATTCAGGTTGCAAGGAAGCACATCAACCTCTAAGAAATGAAATGAGATGGGGATGTGGAAAAAAATTATCAGAAGTCCATCACTTTAGTTATAGAGGCCAGAAAGTAACAGCATAAAAAAGTATATCAGTAGATTTGTATCTATCTCTCGATCTTAATGACTGGTACAGTTTTTAAGTGTAATTGTTCTTACGACCTTTTACTCAGAATCTACGAATAGTTACCCTTCTGTATTTATTCCGGGCACTATATTCGTGATCACAGAATACTTTCTCTTAAGTACTTGTGTGATGTTTTGGCTGTTCATCTTATGCTGAGATACTAAACTTTTCTGAATGGTAAAGCAGCATTCAGTGTAGGTTTGCTACTTGAAAATCCACCTGCTGTGTTATATATCCCTTCAAGCTTTAAATTTTATCCTTGATGAAATAGCGTATTTATTGTGCACTATTTTCCATAACTTGAGTATTGAGATTATAAAGTTCTTATCCTTAGCCCTGTGCCTATCATTTGTTGAATGCTCAGTAAATATTTTTGTTTGTGTTTGGTTTGTGTGCTGTTAAAAATTATTATGGTTGCTTTAGAAAAGCTCCATGCTAATAAAGCTTTCAATTTTTACTTCAAATGTATTCTCATAACTGTGTACAAATCTCTAATTTAGTACTTGTTATATCACAATACTTACACTAAGGTTATTTATGTCTGGGACACTTATTAGACTGTGAGCTTTTTGAGGGCAGAAACCATCTTATTTATATTTGTACTCTCAGTGCTTAACAGAGTCTGGCACTTCTGATACCCTCTCTTCCTTAATCATGTCTGATTTAAGGTTTTTTTTTTTCTTTTTTTTTTTTTTTCTTCAGGTTTGGCATAGAAATGGTGCCTCTAGTTCAAAATGAACAAGAGGTGTTGGATTTGGATGAGGAGCCTGATCTGTCTAGTCTCGAAGGATTCCATTGGGAAGGTGTTTCCCTTTCTCCTGGGTTGGCAAGGAAGCGAAGCCTTTCTGAGAGCAGTGTGATCATGGACAGGGCTCCTTCTGTGTATAGCTTCTTCAGTGAGGAAGGTACAGGCAAAGAAAATGAGCCCCAGCAGATGTTTTCACCTAGTAACGCACTGAGGGCTGCACAGAGTCAGACAACAACCATGGGCCTTAAGCAGGAAGTGACCCCTCTGGCTCTCTCCCTAAGAACAGGTGAAAGGGCTGAAAATGTTGCTACTCAAAGGCGACATAGTGTGCAATTATCCTCTGACCGTTCGATACCTTTGATGCATTTGGCAAAAGACCTGAACAGCCAGGAGAGTTCTACGCCAACTTCAGAGAATCAGAATACCCAGGAGAGTAATGGAGAAGGAAACTCTTTATCATCAAATGCATCCTCAGCCCTTGCAATCTCCAGTCTGGCAGATGCAGCCACAGACAGTAGCTGTACTTCTGGTGCCGAACAAAACGACGGCCAGAGTGTTAGAAAGAAACGAAGAGCTACCGGAGTGAGTATGATTGCCCCTGCTTATTGTTGGACCCTTCATGTGCTGACTTGACTGTTTTAAGAAAGATATAACTTTAATTTTTTCTGGGTATCTGGGTTGTGTTTTTCCCTACTCTGGAATAGATTTGTGAGGCTTTTACTCTTCCTTTCATATTCTTATCCTACTGGTTCCTTTCACTGAGTAATTCTACTAAGTTAGATGTCAGTGAATATGAATGTACAGTACTAGGAAAATATGAAGTCATCTCTAAAACTGGTCTCCAAGGCAATGATTCTTTGTATCACCTGACTGAGGAGTAAGCCACATCTTCATCTGTAACTATATCTGTCTTCATGATGCATTCTGTACTGGCCCTGAAGAAAGGCACTCTAATGTTGCATTTGTAGGCCATGAATGCTTGTTAGACCGAGACAATTGGGCTTAACACTAGGGTAGTTTTAATACGATGAGAGTGCATCTATGTGAGCATGGTCTTACAAATATTTTTAGTCTCTGTTACTCAGTGTTTTGTACCTCAGTTACCCAGCCTGGCCCTTTCAGAATCCATCTTCCACTGAAACCACTTCTCTTCTGGCATCTATGTCACTAACACTGCTTAACCCTTTCAGGAGCCCTTTCTGAAAAGAAAGAGTTGCTGGCAGTGATGTAGTCTGGAATGTGGCACTCTGAGAAAATGGACTGTTTGCTTTAATACTGAGGCACTATAGCAGAGTACTTAAGGGCTTGGCTTGTAGACCTGAATTCAAATTCCAACTTTGCCGCTTTGAGTTCGACACTGTAGTGGATATTCTTGGACGAAAGTTTGTCCTATAACAAAGCTAATATCTGGGGGCTTGTCTGATAGACTGTTTAGCTTTTTGTTGTAAAAATTTTGTTGTGAAGATTTTCTAGTAAAGTAGAAACTATGTCACTGTGAAATCATATATGTGCATTACTGGCTTTGTCCACACCTCTAACTATGCCATGCTTTACCAAAGTGAAATGCTTTGCCTAAGCCCCAGGGATTCACCACCTCTAGGATGCTAGGAAAGTACTGGACCTTAGATTCTGTTCTGGGTTTTTTTGTTTGCTTTTGTTTTGTTCTAAATCAAATACATTCAACTAATATTTGAGTTCATAATGTGTGCATGAGATTCCTACTATCTTGTTAGAGATGGTAATAATGTAGAACAGTCTTAGAATTGATTCACGTTTTTTCCTTCTCGGAGAATGGCTTTTCCACATTTAATATTACTCAGTTTTCTTTATCTTCTCAGGATGGATCTTCTCCTGAACTCCCAAGTCTTGAGAGAAAAAACAAAAGAAGGAAAATTAAAGGAAAGAAAGGTACAGTGCAAAATATTCTGTCAGAAACAAATTGTTTTTATAGCATTTCAGCTTTTTCACAGCTTGACAAAGTATAGCTTGGGGATATCAAATACTGTTCACCCACTTAGTATTATTTTTTGACATTTTTGTTATCTTGCTTCAGGATGTAGAAAAGGTTGATTTTCTCCCATATCCATTTGCAGCTATAGAAGAAACGTTTGATGCCACATAGACCCATAAGCTAACCTTAATGTATATCTTGGACAAATTGAGTTCGTATGAAGTCAGAAAGTCCCATTTGGGCCTTTTCAGTGATAAAGAGGAATATAGGCCATTTGCTAATAAGAATTTTGTGTCTCTTGATTATTTATCGCCATTTTTCTCAGTTTACATTTTTGAGGCATCTTTGTTGCTTCTCTTACTTGAGTTGAGAGAAGTTATTGGAATGGCTCCCTCACTGATAGGATTCTCTTATTCTTGCTTTCCACTGATTCTGAACCCTTTCCAATGAGAGGGCTAGTATGGGAAGTGATTGGATGAGCCTTGGATGGTTGGATGTTATGGATAAGTTGGGGGTAAAGGATGACCCCAATTTCTGGCTAAGGCATCTTTGGGGATGATGATATCGTTTATTAGAGCTAGAAAACTGCATGAGAGGAGCAGGTTGACGGTAGAGGAAGATGATGAGTTCCCTTTTGGGGGTCTTGAATTAAAGGATCTTAGAGACACCTAAGTAAAATCAAGGTGGTAGTTGGATGTGTGGGTCTGGAGTTTTAGGAAGAGGTCTTGACATACTGAATGGGAAAGAGACAGACCTAACGATGACAGATATGCACACGTGATAGGACATTTTATTTAAAATCACTTAAATGTACATTTCAAAGCTGTTTTTTCTTTAGGAAGATTTCTCTAATAAAGAGAACTATTTTATGTTAACTAAGAGACTAGAAAAATATGCTTTGGGAAGAGAGTGCAAGCAGTTCACATCTGGGACCCAGTCTAAGCATCCTTGGACCTATGACATACCTCCATCTCACCAATTCTCACTTTTGGTTTAGCTCTGATAACAGGCTTGACCACATGATTTGTGAGATTTGATGAGTCTGCAGTGACCTATTGGAGAGGAAAAACAAAGGCTTATCCTAGAGAACTGAGGTAGTTCCACCTTCTGAGGGCTGTATTATTCAGAAGTTTGCAGTATTAAACTGAGCCTTATGGTTTCTTTTGGCAGAACGTTCTCAGGTTGACCAGCTGCTGAGTATTTCTTTAAGGGAGGAAGAACTAAGCAAATCATTGCAGTGCATGGATAACAACCTTCTGCAAGCCCGTACAGCTCTTCAGACAGCTTATGTTGAAGTTCAGAGGCTACTTATGCTCAAGCAGCAGGTAACAGCGGATGGAACATTTAATGAGAATAGATTATCTCTAAAGTTGGATTTCACAGTGCTTAACAGATTACTTTATTTTTAGATAACTATGGAGATGAGTGCACTGCGGACCCATAGAATACAGATTCTGCAGGGATTACAAGGTATTCGGAGAGAATCTGATGGATTGGATCCTCTGTAGCTTATTATTTCTTTGTTATCTATGCAGGGGAATTAAAGTAGTCGTGAAAAAGTCATATGTTTTCCTCTCCTCTCTCCTTGTTTTCATCCTTCTGTAGAAAGGCCTGTGAGGCTGTGCTCCCTGAAAATGCTTAGCAACAGAGGCAGTATGTTACAGGAAGAGCCTTGTGTTAGGAATCAAAAGACCTGGGTTCAAATCTTGGCTCTTCGATTAGTAACTATGTGACTTGGGATAAATCACTTAAAATTTGAAAAATTGGAATACTAACACCTGTTCTACCTGTGTGCTTGTTGGTTGTATGGATTTTATTTCCTACATTTCAAAGAATGAGGGACTTTAAAGTTCTCCTGTAATCTTTAGAAATACAAACTGGCTCAGAAATGAGTGGCTTTTCAGAAAATATTTTTGCATTTGTATGTGCGTATGTTTCCCATTCTAGAAACATATGAACCTTCTGAGCGCCCTGACCAGGTTCCTTATAGCCTTTCACGAGAACAAAGGAACAGTAGATCTCAAACATCTGCTGATGCCACGCTGCTGCCTACTCCCTTTTTCCCAGTATTTCTGGAGCCTCCATCTTCCCATGTGTCTCCATCATCCACCGGAGTCCCTCTCCAAGTAACCACATCTCCTACTTTCCAAGCCCATGGCAGTGTTCCTGCTCCAGACTCCTCAGTTCAGATTAAACAAGAACCCATGTCTCCTGAGCAAGACGAGAATGTGAACGCTGTGTCACAAGGCTCTGCTGGCAATGTGTCCAAGGAATTACCGCAAGTTAATAGTATGTAAACTTTTCTCTGGGTTAAGGGCAACCCCAGCAGAGGGTCTAGGGCAGTTTTAGGTCAGTGATGTAAAGTCATACCTGCCCATTAAAACTAAAGTTTTTACAATTAATTGTTCTTAATGTTTCCTCCATTTAGGAGGATTGTTTAAATATCAGTAACTTGTCCTCGGTTTTCTCTAATCTAGTGTTACTAAATTGACTTTGTATTAACACCTAAAATGTTCCATTATGAGGATTGATGCTGTTTGTGTTTTTGTGAGAGAAATGGAGTTGAAGTTGTCCAGTCAATTTCCTAGATAAGATATGTCCTCTGAATTTCTCAGCATTTACCTTTCTTTGTCATTAAAGTGCAAGGTAGGATTAATATAAGCCTAAGAGGTAGGTGGCCATGATAAAAGGCAGTGGACACAGGTTTAGGATCATCATTAGGAACTTGAGTGGTTTTGAGAAATGGCCAAGGTTTTTACTCTTTGCATAAAATAACACTCACTTATTTACCATTAGAGAAGGACTTCTAAGCTATTTTAAACCTTATCTGAAGTGTGTGTAACCACGATGGTGCTACACTGAAAAGTGAGTAAAAATAAACTGCCATCGTGTGACCTGAGCAAAAACAAAAAGTCTGAAGAGTTACCCTAGATTTTGCTACCTGTTGCAGCACTAATCTAGATATCTATCTAGCTCAAATGTATGTTATCTTTCGTCTTGAATTTTGTTGCTTTTGTGTGACTAGTATTTGGTATTTTTTTAAAAACTGGTAAAGAAGTATTATAGTGACTTCTTAAGCTAGTATTTAAAAAAAGGTTTTTTTAATGTTTATTTTTGAGAAAGAGAAAGGGAGCAAGTGGGGGAGGGGCAGAGAGAGAGAGGGAGACACAGAATCTGAAGCAGGCTCAAGGCTCTGAGCTGTCAGCACAAAGCCTGACCAGCCACGGGATCCATGACCTGAGCCGAAGTCAGACGCTCAACCGACTGAGCCACCTAGGTGCCCCTTAAGTTAATATTTTTAAAAATTGATTTTTATTAGATTTTTTTCTCTGCAAAATAATTCATGTTCACAGTAAAAAATTGGGAAGCGATTAAAATGTAGATACGTTGTTTTGTTATATATTATTTCAGTCTTTCTTCAATCATAATTGTTTGTGTATTTGCACATAGAGTTTATAGAAAGGCAAAATCATAGTCCGTTATAACCTGGCTTTTTTCCACTTAATAGATAATGCTCATTTTCCTGTGTCATAAAAGTAATTGTGTAAAATATTTTAATTTTACTACTTGAATAATACTTGAGAAATTGTGTAATCTGGGTAGATAGTAATTTATACAATCTCCTTTGAGTATTTAGTTTTTATCCTTTTTTCTTTAATATTGCATAGAACACTACATTGTATATGTCTTTGAGTATGTCTTTGATTATTTCATCAATCTGAATTCCTTGACATGAAATAACTATGTGAAAGAAAATAGACTTTGTTAAGTCAACTGACTTTTTAACTACTGTTATGCAAACAAACTGGGTGATGTCGCAGGTAAAGTGGCATAGTGAAAACATCTAAGACATAAAGGTGAAAGCACTTTAGCTAAGCAGATATTTCAGTGTGTACCAAGAATAAAACATCATGTTAAACATGGGGACATTTCAAACAAGAAAGAAAGAAAAGAGATGGCTAGAAGGAGTCCCTGCCCGTAGGGAGCTTTTGTAGGGTATAAGACATGCATGTTATTTGTGAGATTTAATTCAAGGCAAAGAGAAATTTCTGCAGGCTATGGGAAGCTAAGGGATGAGAAAACGGTTTTAACAGTCATAACCTTGTTAACATATGTCGAAAGGTTGTTTTTCAGGAGAGATTCGATCAGTGGTAAATAATGGCAGTTTATGATGATAAATCGCAGATACAGAAGAAGATGCAATATTTTTTTTTCTTCTTATTTCAGGAGAGAACAGTGACAGTTATCCAGTTTATCCAGTCATCCCTGCAGCATTATCTTTATCAGAGCTAACAGAAAGTTTCCATGAGCCTAGCCAAGAACTGAAGTTTTCCACGGAACAAGGAAATACCAGAAACAGAGATAATACTGCCTCTTCCCAACCAACTGGTCTTCCAAGCCTGAATAAAGAAGATGAGCCAATCAAAGGCAACAGTGGGTCTGAGGCCTGTACCAGTTCTTTCCCAAGATTGTCCTTTGCTTCCGAAACCCCCTTAGAGAAAGAGCCCCACTCTGCAGCTGACCAGCCCGAGCAGCAGGCAGAGTCTACTCTGACATCAGCTGAAGCTCGGGGAAACAAGAAAAAGAAGAAACTTAGGAAGAAGAAAACTCTTCGGGCTGCTCATGTTCCTGAGAACAGTGACACCGAACAGGATGTATTTACTGCTAAACCTGTAAGGAAAGTAAAGACTGGAAAGTCAACCAAAGGGGGGAAAGTAACGACCTCCACCTGGGAAGACAGCAGGACTGGCCCAGAACAAGAGAGTGTCAGAGATGAGCCAGAGAGTGACTCATCTCTGGAAGTCCTAGAAATTCCTAATCCGCAGTTGGAAGTGGTGGCCATTGATTCTTCTGAATCCGGAGAAGAGAAACCAGACAGTCCATCTAAAAAGGATATTTGGAATTCCACAGAGCAAAATTCATTAGAAACTTCTCGTTCTGGTTGTGATGAAGTTAGCTCTACCAGTGAGATTGGCACTCGTTATAAAGATGGTATCCCTGTAAGGTAAGGATGTTGTGCTGGTGCAGTCAGAACAACTTTCGCCATTATTCTTTTCTTAAACAATAGAACTTTTGGTTATGAATCAATTTTTAAATGAATTAAATGTATAGAAAATCGGTAGAGATTATGGGTGTAGAAAAATCAAACCTTGGCAGTGGAGATTTTCTGCTTTCTCATTTGTGTTGTAAATATATACTATACTTATATTTCCTTTCATATAGAAATTTCAAATGGAAAAACTGATCTCTTTTGTCACTGCTGTGTGCCCAGTGTTTAGAACAATCCTTGAGTCAGGAAAATTTAAGTTATTGCTTGTCTTATTCACATCCGCTAAAAAGACTTTTGCTATTCTTTTGTAGTGTGGCAGAAACTCAGACTGTGATCTCCTCCATAAAAGGATCAAAGAACTCTTCAGGTATTTGGTTATTCAGTTTTATTTAAATTAGCCACAGAAAAGAAAGCTTTATAAATATTAGAGCCAGGGTTTAAATCTTATTAAATATGCCTATAGATTAGGATAGGGTCTGGGGATTGTCACCAAGAATATTGTTTTGATCAGCAATTATGGTGTCCTGTAAATCCTGCCTTTTTATTTTCTTATTCTCATCTCTCCTATCTGTTCAACTAATGAGTTTTCATTGGCTCATGGGGCTTTTGCTTTGAGAAGGAATTGCTTGAAGAACAATGCCTTGTTCAACAAAATAACTGGCATCAGAAGAGAGGATGTGAGGAGAGATTTGGTACTTCCAGGTATCACTCAAAAAATGAGTATCTGTTTTTTTTCCTCAGTGAGAGGCTTTCTCTCCCAGAGTCTCTTATTATGAAATCTTCATAACGAAGATCATTAATGGAAAATGTGGGGTTTTGCTAGAGGAAACAGGTTTTAAGGAGAATCCAAGGACCACTATATTATGTAATGGTTTTAATTTTTGAGTATCTTTTCAGACAAAAGCTGATACATATCTGAAACACATTCTTGATTTCCAGAAATATCTTCAGAGCCAGGAGATGATGATGAGCCCACAGAAGGGAGCTTTGAGGGGCACCAAGCCGCAGTGAATGCAATTCAGATATTTGGGAACTTACTGTACACCTGTTCAGCAGATAAAACTGTTCGAGTTTATAATCTGGTGGTGAGTTGATATATCAATTTGAATGTTTTCTAGTTTTTTGCAGGTTTTAGGAACTCTGATTCACACTCTCTTAAACAATAGGGGTATCTGTTTGTTATCCAGAGATGTGTAGACTAACTGTAGATAAAGTTGATGCAGTGGCTCAGCAGGGTCCCTGGGGACTTAGCTTTTTGTCTGTCCACACTGCTTTCTCTGGTATCACCTCTTCCTAACGCTAGTTCTCCTCCTGCTCATAGACCGATGTCAGAAGCCACTGGGGTTTCTTTTTTCTCCCATTACCAAAAGGGTCCTGTGCTTTATTCTGAACAACCACTTGGCAAAGGGAGATGAGCTAACAGAAGGCTGGGCCAGTCAGGTCCTGGTCCTGGAGGTGGTGATGAGGTCAGTCAGATCGCTGCGACATAATAGAGAGGATAGAATGAAAATATTGGGGAGGTACTAGAGGAGGCATTTTTCCTCACAGTTGATTAATTGTCCCAAGTGATTAAGGAGAGCAACAGTGTTCTAGGACCTGTCACTGATAATCTGATGCTCGTTACTCTCAGTTTTCATAGAATGAACTCTTGAGTTTTGAATTTGGTATACATCAGATTAATTTTATCAACAATGATCTTTAAGAAACTTTAAGAGCACTATGTTGTCTGAATAAATACCATGAAAGTATTTGAAATTACTGAAGTCCTTGAAAGTCCAAAGGTTAGATGATGGACCATGAAAATGTGTCCTAGGCAACAGGTGTCTAGGTTCCAATAGCCTAGTGATGTGAAGGGGCAAGTAGGATGTCTGAAGGAAGGAAGCAGTGGTACCAGGAAGTATGAGTGTAAGATTTGGGAGATTGACTCTAACTCTAAATTGCAAGATAAATATATGTATGTATGTGTGTGTGTGTGTGTGTATTTTAAGTAGATCTGAATATGTGCACAAACATAATATCTAGGATGTTCCTGTGTGAAACCACCCCTGATGGCCCCACTAGGGGCCTGACACATCTCTGAATGTTGTGGAACATTCTCTCACAAGTTACCAAGGAAATGAAGGAACTCATCTGGGAAATTAGCTACAGTTTGGATTTGTCAGATCTTTGGCCCCTGTGTTGGAGAGCCTTGCTCCAGGCATTAATTAAAATTCTGATCTATCTTACAGCAAACTGCCTTAAGAATTTGGGTAGGGCTCAGCTAACAGAGTTGTGGGTACTTAGTCCGTGTGACTGCTGGGCATTTAGTAAACACATATTTACTGAGCACCTTTTGTGTAACAACAGGCACTAACCTAAGCACTGAGGATGCAGCAGAGAACTAATATGTTTTAACATTTTTGTTATTGCTAAGGAAATGTGTTACCTAATCCTTGTGTATCCACAAGTAATAATCTGATATGCGCTTGACTTTAGAGTCGGAAGTGCATTGGGGTCTTTGAGGGGCATGCCTCCAAAGTGAACTGCCTCCTGGTTACCCAAACCTCTGGCAAGAATGCTGCCCTTTACACTGGTTCCAGTGACCACACCATTCGCTGCTATAATGTGAAGGTAAGTGGGTCCAGACAAATCAAAAGTGATGATATTAAACTGCTTTGACTGCGTTTATTGTGTAGAGTGGAGACACTGAAACAGATGCTTCATTCTGCCCACTCTCTGTTTTACGCTTCCAAACCATTTTTAGTACAGGCACGCCTCAGAGATTGTGGGCTGGGTTCCAGACCCCTGCAGTAAGGAGAGTATCACAATAAAATGATCAAATGAATTGTTTGGTTTCCTAGTGAATATGAAAGATAATGTTGATGCTATACTGTTGTCTATTAAGTGTGCAGTGGTGTTAAATCTAAAAAAGAAAAAAAAAGTATGTACCTTAAATTAAAAATACCTTTTTTTTCACTCCTCCACAGAGAGAGAATAAAAGAAAAAAAAACATAAAAATACTTTATTACCAAACAAATACTAGCCATCATCTGAGTTTTCATCAAGCTGTAATCTTTTTGCCCACTTCTTAGTGTCCTTTGAAGAATTTCTACATTACAAACTAGGAACATGAGTAACATTAGAATTTAGATTTGTTTATAGCCTGAGGGTCTTTGGCCACATATTTCAAAGGAAAAAGAATCTAAGATAATCTTGTACAAAACAGAGGTCGCTACATTTCCTTCCTCATAAAAATCATGTCACACACTGCTTAAAAAAGGATTGTTGTCACCCTTTATTTGCTGTGAACCCCTGCTGATTAGGTGTTGTGTGCTTTATTAGACGCGAGAGTGTGTGGAGCAGCTACAGCTGGAAGACCGGGTCCTCTGCCTCCATAGTAGATGGCGAACCCTCTATGCAGGACTGGCAAATGGCACCGTGGTCACCTTTAACATAAAGGTTAGTGTTTGAGGGGAGAAGGCTGAATTCCCATGCCACTTGAAAGTAGTGTGAGAATGTGTGGAAAGAAGTAGAAGGCAGACATTTCCTGTTGTCTTGTGTGAGAAGATGACAGAATTAGCTGCTGCTCAAAAACTCTTATTTTCTGGTATAAGTGAAACAAGATCCTGCATTCTGTCTGCTCAGGCTCAAATGTACCAGGCCCAAAAGGTAACTCTACTAAATTAAACCAAGCCTGATGATTTGGGGCCAAATAATGAGTCATAGGTTAAACTAGTCTATCTCATTTTAAGAATGACACCATGAAAAATGAGCTTAAATTCTTTTGAGTATGACATTGATGTGGTTTGGAACCGATTGAGAGTTTCATGAGGATAGCCTGTTCTGTAATGTGAACTAAGTCATAGGTTTGTCTGTAAGCCCGTGTGGCTTCATTCTTTCCTAACCCAAAGAGAAATTCATTTGTTGAGTGAACCGATATTGAACATCTGTTGTTATGTTCTAGACCTTAGGATGATGCCTAGGAAATGAGGAAAGACCAGTTCTTGCTGGCCCTATATGCTTTGTTAACGTAGATGGACTTCCGTCTTGTAGACTTTAAAGTATAAGAGGCATGATTGAATTTGTATTTTAGAGAAAGTCACTCTGGAGTTGATGAGGTAGGAAAATACTGGTCCTAGTAGAGACAGGGAGCTCATTTAGGAGGCTTTGTAGTAGAAGGTGACATGAAAGGTTAGACTAAGGATGAAGAGAAGAGAATGGATAAAAGATAATAGAGGTAGAGTTGATGGGTTTGGTTGCTAATGAGTTGTAGTGCCATATCCCAAGGTCATTTGGTCATCTTTTAACAGCACGTTAGAATGTTTGCTATGTTATGCCCAATTATAATATTATTCATATGTGTAGTGAATACCTACCAACTCTCCTTCGACATGTGAGCTGGAACCACTACTTCTTTTTTTAATTGTTTTTTTAATGTTTATTTATTTTTGACACAATGTGAGAGACAGGGTGTAAGCAGCAGAGGGGCAGACAGAAGGAGACATAGAATCTGAAGCGGGTTCCAGGCTCTGAGCTGTCAGCCCAGAGTTCGATGCGGGGCTCGAACTCATGAACCATGAGATCATGACCTGAGCTGAAGTCAGATGCTTAACCGACTGAGCCGCTTAGGCGCCCCTGGAACTACTGCTTCTAAGGGATACAATAAAATACATCATGCCTTCTACTTTGAAGAAGCTTAGGGGCGCCTGGGTGGCTCAGTCGGGTAAGTGTCCGACTTTGGCTCAATTCATGATCTCGCAGTCTGTGAGTTCAAGCCCCGTGTTGGGCTCTGTGCTGACAGCTCAGAGCCTGGAGCCTGCTTTGGATTCTGTGTCTCCCTTCTCTCTCTGCCCCTCCCCCACTTATGCTCTGTCTCACTTTGTCTCTAAAAAATAAATAAGTTTAAAAAAAAATTTTTTTTAAAAGAAGCTTAAAATCAAGTTAGAAGAATCTAGCACATAGGTAATCAAGTACTAGGTTATGAAGAGATCACAGAAGGGTAATTAGTGAAGGTTGTTACATTCCAGATGTGAAGTGTTAACAGCCTACATTAGATTTGGTTAGGGCAAAAGAAATGAAGAAGAAAGAATAAATTTAAAATATTTTAAAGACTAAAACTTGATAATTCTCTAATTGTCTTTTGTGAGAGTAATGTCATCAAAGGTAGACAAAAGTCAGGAACAGGACTTTTGAGGCAGGATGAAGACAAGAAATTGAAATGTAAATGGTTGAAAAGCCACAGAGAAGGTGGATTTGGAAATAGAGATTTGAGAATCTCTGCAGACATTGGAATTTTGAAGCCTCGTGAGCACTGAGCCCTTGTTGGTTTGTCCATACTATACCTGAATGCAGTGCTTCTGAGGTTTTAACAGAAAGCCAGGGCTGTTTACTAGAGCCTGTCCACCAGTGGTCTCTAAACTCCCATCAGGCTGTTTCCCCAACACCTATGATGGCTGGAGTCATTGCTTAGCCCTGGAGGCTACCAGCTGCTCCTTTGTGAAGTTTCTACGAGTTTCACCCCTTGCATGTGCCTGATGTTCCTTTTTAGAGATTTTGGGGAAATGGGAGACTTTATGGACAAGGTTGGTGTGGGACTGAGGGAAGCAAGTCTAAGATCTGAGGTAAAGGAATGTTTGGGAATTCAGGATGTGACCATGCAACTCTGATATAAAAGGCTTCTCTAGTTCACTAAATGATGTCATGAGAGATGACATAGAACCAGAAATCAGAAGGACTTGGGAATAACAGGTGGAGAATGAGAGATTCTTACTGAAATTATTTGTAAGTAAGTCATTCTCAATGGAGAAATTTGGAAACATACGACAAATTGTTTGCATAAAGTTTGGATGACAGAATACAGAGAAAGAGCTTCTGGGTCTATGGCAAGGAAAATGTATGAGCATATGAAAAAGAAAGTCGATCATCTGTTATCATTAACTTAAGGAAACTGAGAGAAGGCATAAAAGAGAGTCAAGTGCTAACTAGGATCAGATAGTATAGGTTGAAGTTAGAAATGTGTTTATAATGTAAGAATTTGCCATGCCCGCGCTAGAATGGGGGAGGAGGGAGTCATGGACACAAAGAGAGTTGGAATGGGAATAGCAGAGGTTGGGAAGTTAAAAGATTCGCATGGGGTATGAGAACTTAACAGGTAGTAGAATTTAAGAGTTTGAATCAAGGTAGTGATTTGGGTGAGTTGATTTTGATATTTACCAGCCAAGCTGCTTTTATTTCATATAATGGTGGCTTATTTTTCAGAACAATAAACGACTTGAAATCTTTGAATGTCATGGCCCTCGGGCTGTCAGCTGTCTTGCCACAGCTCAGGAAGGCGCCCGAAAGCTGCTTGTTGTTGGATCTTATGACTGTACCATTAGTGTCCGTGATGCACGGAATGGACTCCTTCTCAGGACCCTAGAGGGCCACAGCAAAACCATTCTTTGCATGAAGGCAAGTACAGTGCAAGATAACAGGAGTCAGTTGGCACAAATAAAAGGATTTGAGTGCCATTTGTCTTGTCATCTAATGCCTTATCTACAGCACATCATCTGGAAAAGAGCAAGGAGATTACGGTGCTTTTCTTTAGGCCTGGGTGACCAAGGGATGTATTTTTTTTTTTTTTTTTTTTTTTTTTTTTGCGGGGTTGGAGTTGGACTGTATTTTAATACATTAATATATTAATGGAGAAACAGTGTATTTTATTATAGAATGTAGATACACTTTAAAGTCCTTCCAGGCAGTTTCACAATCGTTCTGAGGAGGTAACAAACCCAATAATACATTGTCACTTCATCAGAGTACCTGGTGGTAGGCCCTAAATTTCATTTCAGAAAATTTGAGGAACTTGGTGTTTTATATCTAGTTGATGCTCATCTCAAAGTGGGTTGGAAATTAGAATTCAACAGTGTGCATTATAAATTACAGAGAAGGCTCAGAACCTTTTACCAAATGTAACTCAATGAATTTTTTTCTTTAAGGTGGTGAATGACCTTGTGTTCAGTGGCTCCAGCGATCAGTCAGTCCACGCGCACAACATTCATGTAGGTTGTGTTGGTGTAAAGAAATCTTTAATGGAATGAAGATTAAACCTTGAAGGATTCCTCAGACCTCTTGCCTTTTATATTGCAAGCTTAATATTTATATTGAAAAGCTTACTAATAATCCCTACCTGCATAAGCTCTTGGAAGATAGTGAGCACTTGAGAAATTCTGGCCTCTTCAAAATTTTTAATGGGAGACAGATTCAAAGTTTACATAAGGTTTAGTTTGTCTCATTTAAACCTGAGATAAATTGAGCATCTGAGGCTCTGAGAAAGTGGATGTGATACGTAGTTTAAAATAGAACAAATAAAAACAGCTGAGAGATTCTGCTCAGGTCATAGAGGCAGCTCTTTGACGCTCAGTGCCCAGTCTATAAACCTGGGGATACTGCAACCTCAGGGACTTGTCCAGACACAACAAAATGATAAGAGTGAAAATTCTTTAAAACCTATAAAATACATACAGATAGAGTTGTAGCCCTTCTCTTTGTGTGACAATAGGTTCTCTCCATCAGGATACATTTCATGCATATTATATATGTATATTGTAATAAATGCTTATGCAGGTACCTGAGCTGTGAAAATTAGTACAGCTACGTTGTGTACAAGTGGGCTCAGAATTACAACTTGGAATAATAGAATCATAAATCTCAAAAGTCAGAAGGAATCTGGAAAGTCAGTCTAGTGACTTGTCTCTTTTCTGATGCAGACTGGTGAGCTTGTGCGGATCTATAAAGGTCACAATCATGCAGTGACTGTGGTGAATATCCTAGGGAAAGTGATGGTGACTGCTTGCCTGGATAAATTTGTTCGTGTCTATGAATTACAGGTAGAATTTAGATCCAGTATTTTGCTTGAATGATTTGGGGAATAGGCCTGTTTGGGTTGGGTATTGAATTATTCTTATTCTTGTTATTGTTATTATTATTTTTAATACAGTAAGGCTGGGGTGGGACCCAGGAATCTGCATTTTTCACAGGCCCTCTAGATAATTATGAAGCAGATGATCCTTGGACTGTCAGAAACACTGCTCTGAAAGACATGGTCTGGCTCACAGAGGTCAATACTAAAATGGTTTTTGGAGAGCAGAGTTAGTCTCTAAAACCTGTCTAGTTCTCTTGGTGTGCAATTTCAGGTTTAGACTTTGACATTGCACAGAAGTTAGTTTTCTCATTTCCAGTTACCAGCTCCTCCCTTGAAGACTTATTCGAAAGATTGTCATTAGATTATGTTTCTGTGAAAATGCTACTGGTGCTTCAGCTTAGTGCTAAACCTGCCAGAGGCCTCCGGGGATTATGCTTATTAACCACAGGGTATAAATAACTTTAATTCTCTATTTTTTTCCTCCACCTAAGTCCCATGATCGATTGCAAGTTTATGGAGGACACAAAGACATGATTATGTGTATGACCATCCATAAAAGTATGGTGAGTGTTATTAGCCATGTTACATATTTGCTTTTGAATATGCTTATTACTAAAAACTACAAACTGATAACAATATTACTATTTATCACTTCCAAAAATGACACGTTTCTGGTAGGCATTCTGATATTGAATGCCTTTCTTTCTTTTGGCATGCTATTATCGAGAAGTAACCCAGTGACATTGTTGAATATTCCCTTTTCTATTAATAGCTAAAATAACTACAATAAGAATCTGATAACACCATTAAACAGAATATAAGTTTAAAATGTTTCCCCCAAAAATTGAGTGGTGCTTTTTCCAGAGACATTATGATCCGAACAGAACATTGGAATAGAGTCAGGAGATTAGGCCAGTATGGCATAGTGAAAGCAGACCTAAAAGTAGAAGCTAACTCATTTAACCCCGCTAAGCCTTGATTTATTTTATTTTTAAATTATGTGGTTGGACCAGAATGGGTGTTTTTCAGACTCTGAGCCTTAGAACCCTTTGTTCCAGTGAAACACAGACGGCTAATATTATTATGCCCGAGGTAGCATACAATGCCCAGTAGCCAGAGTGGACCAGTTACAATGTAAGTGGGTGCCTCTGAGCCCTGCCACTTAGGCTCTCAGCCAGCGTTCTGGAAGGAGCAAGGCTTCAAAGTATCTATACTAGAAGATACTTCCCCACTGTTGTACTCTGGGGCTGGGTTTGGTTTAGGTTTGTATTTTCTCGTAGCTGGTACAAGGAGCTTTTGACACGTATTTTTGGAATATTGAGTAGTTGTTTTTTGTGTGTTGTTTTGGTCTGATAGGATAAACCTTTCTTTCCCCCAGATTTACACTGGCTGTTATGATGGCAGTATTCAAGCTGTAAGGCTGAATCTGATGCAGAATTACCGCTGTTGGGTAAGGAGTGAAACTGTTCTTATGACCAGACTTAGGAGTTGTTTAACCCTAGGCTAATTTATACATCTTCATCATCATCAATTAAGCATTTTTGTATTTGAGTGTCTACTTTATGCCTCCTGCTGTAGGCCAAGGAAGCTTATTTTTAAAACCTGTACATAGGGGCATCTGGGTGGCTCAGTCAGTTAAGCGTCCAACTTTGGCTCAGGTCATGATCTCACAGTTCATGAGTTTGAGCTCTATATTGGGCTCTGTGCTATCAGCAGAGAGACTGATTCAGATACTCTGTCTTCCTCACTCTGTGCCCCTCCCCCACTCGTGTGTGTGTGTGTGTGTGTGTGTGTGTGTGTGTGTGTCTGTGTGTGTGTGTCTGTGTGTGTCTGTGTGTGCGTGCTCAAAAATAGACATTAAAAAAAAAAGAAAATATTTTTATCATTTATTTTTATTATTTTTAAAATTTTTTAAATGTTTATTTTTGAGAGACAGAGTGAGCGGGGGAGGGGCAGAGAGAGAGAGGGGGGAGGGGCAGAGAGAGAGAGAGAGACACAGAATTCTAAGCAGGCTCCAGGCTCTGAGCTGTCAGCACAGAGCTTGATGCTGGGTTCGAACTCACAAACTGTGAGATCATGATCTGAGCCGAAGTCAGATGCTTAACTGACTGAACCATCCAGGCATCCTCAAGAAACATTTGAAAAAAATGATTTAAAAAAGTTAAAACTGTACATAAAATACTTCCATACTTCTTTCATGAATAATCTATTTTAAGATTAGATATGAGGTATGTTTATGTATCATCCACCCAGGTTATTTCTTTGGTGGTTTTTGTTTATTATAAAATCAGTACATGCTTACAAAAATGTCAAGAGTACAGTTGACCCTTGAACAGTGCAGATGGTTATAGAGGCACCAAACCCCATACAGTTGAAAATTTGCATATAACTTATGACTCCCCCAAAGCTTAAGTACTTATAGCCTACTGTTGATCCTTCCTGACAACATAAATAGTCAATTAACACATATTTAGTATATGTATTACAGACTGTATTCTCACAATATAGTAAGCTAGAAAAAAGAAAATGTTACTAAAATGTAAGGAGGAGTGTCTGGCTGGCACAGTTGGTAGGGCATGTGACTCCTGATCTCAGGGTTGTGAGTTCGAGCCCCACATTGGGTGTGGAGATTACTTAAATAAGTAAATAAGATAAAATCATAAGGAAAATACATTTACAGTACTATATTGTATTTATTGATAAAAGTTCATGTATAAGTGGATCCACGCAGTTCAAACCTATGTTGTTTAAGGATCAACTATTTATGAAATGAGTGCAAGTGTTTATTTTTGTGACCTGCTTACTAGCTTATACAGGGATTACTTGTATTAATAGTTTGATTTGTGTCCACATTGGTTTTTTAGGAATAGGCCAATAAAAATTTGTATTCTGGAAGGTTTTAAACTTCCATTGCCTAGGCTAAATTGCCTGGTTTTTATTTTGGGGTGGGAGCTCCAAACTTTTACATTGTTCCCTATAGGCCTTAATTTGTTTCATCAGTTCTAATATTAGTAGTGATCAAAGAAACGTTTATGGCTGAAATTCCCCCCTCCCAATACCCTAACATGCTTTGTAGAATTGATGGAATGAAATTGACACCCTCCATTTTTAATTGGGCTCTGTACTGACAGCTCAGAGCCTGGAGCCTGCTTCATATTCTGTGTCTCCCTCACTCTGTCCCTCTCCTGCTCACACTCTGTCTCTCTCAAAAATAACAAACAAACAAACAAACAAAAAAATGAACGTGTTAGAATTAGAATTGTAAGATTTATGATCAGCAGGCTTGTAGGATAAATACCAAGACAGAGTCTGTATGCTTTTTCACTAACAAGTGAAATTGAGAATTGAGCCACATTTATTTATTATTAAAAAAATTTTTTTAACGTTTTTATTCATTTTTTGAGAGACAGAGACTGTGAGCGGGGGAAGAGATAGAGGGAGACACAGAATTCGAAGCAGGCTCCAGGCTCTGAGCTGTCAGCACAGAGGCTGAAGTGGGGGCTCAAACCCACAGACGGAGAGATTATGACCTGAGCCGAAGTCAGATGCTTAATCGACTGAGCCACATTTACCCCTGAGCCACATATTTTATAGTAAAATTAGAATTTAAAAAAAGAAACAAGATTGTGATTCAAGTGATAAAGATTCTGAGTAAAGTCAGGCTTCCATAGCAACGTAGTCTTATCAGACATTTTTATTTTCAAGTTTATAAATCAGCAGTTCTTAGAATTGTTAGAAACAGCCCCTTCAGTATTACAGGGAGCTCTTAGTCTTTTTAAATAAGTAGACTAAGGAACTCATTCTGTGATGGCAAGGTAAAAAAATAAGTGTGGTGTAAACTGAATTTTATGATAAGTTGTCTGTCAATTTTTGCTAACCTTTTCCTTATCTCTCTTAACGATACAGCTATCTTAGTGCTTTGCCTTCTCAATATCACACAGTGTCAAGACTTTCCAGGCTTTTCAAGGCTCCTCATGATATTGTTAATTAATGTGGGTGCCTCTGGCTTTGTTATATTTTCTATCTAAGAATAAAGCCTAAGGGGATTGCTTTTTTTTTGCCCAAAACTTACAGGATACAAGTGAGGGGCTTTCTAATCACAGTTGCATGCTTCCTGTACACTTTTTAACTTTCCTTTTTGTTCTCTTTCCAGTGGCATGGTTGCTCTCTGATATTTGGCGTTGTGGATCATTTAAAACAACATTTGCTCACTGACCATACGAATCCAAACTTTCAAACTCTGAAATGTCGCTGGAAGAACTGTGATGCCTTTTTCACCGCTAGGAAAGGGTCTAAACAGGTACCTGAGTGGGACTTGAGGCCGACCTGGGGTCTATTCGACTGCTCAGAGCAGGCAAACCTTTTTTGCCTTATTAGAATGTTGAGAATTGGAATAAATAGGGAGAGATTTTCCTTTTAATTATTATTATTCAGAGATTTGAGGAATAGCTTAATGAGGTTTCAGATGATGAATTAGGTAGTTTTTTGTTTTTTTGTTTTTTAAAAATTTTTTTTTTAACGTTTATTTATTTTGAGACAGAGAGAGACAGAGCATGAACAGGGGAGGGGCATAGAGAGAGGGAGACACAGAATCTGAAACCGGCTCCGGGCTCTGAGCTGTCAGCAAAGAGCCCGACACGGGGCTCGAACTCACGGACCATGAGATCATGACCTGAGTCGAAGTCGGACACTTAACCGACCGAGCCACCCAGGCGCCCCGAATTAGGTAGTTTTTGAGAAAGAGCCCAAAGAGAATGTTTTCAAATGTTTCAAATCCAATAACTGAACCTAGAAGTTTGTTACAGTGCTCTTGTATAAGATAAGAACTCATCTTGAAGTGCATGTTTTCATGTAAGTTAGCAAAGTGCTGGGTCCTAGGTACCTTTAATGTGTGGATCTTAGAATGTGCCCATGAAGCTCTCCTTGGCTTTAACTGTCTCTTGTCCTACTATCAACTTCTCTCTCATGGGCTCTTTTCCCTTTATTCCTAGGATGCTGCAGGACACATTGAACGACATGCTGAGGATGACAGCAAAATTGATTCATGAAGCTTTTTGCCTCCCATGTTGGGAAGTTATTAATTGAACTAATTTCACATCGGCCCCTCACAGAGGCCACAATCTTCCCTTCCCCAGAGAAGCAGGGAAGGAGAAAGTTGTTACCAGCCAGGCTTACCACTAACATAAGTCTGGGCAGCTCTATGGGATGATAGTTACACTTTAAGTTCTTACTGGAGGTTTGTCCGATTTAAACAGATTTTAGGGAACCATACTTCTCTGAGACAGCATGGAATATAGTCATCTATGCTACTAGTATTCTCCAGATGTTTATTAAAAATACAGATCTTAATTGGCTACTCAGTTTGACCCATATGATTAATATGTAGTCGTTTCTTGATTTCAGTTTGCAAGTTTTAGTTTACGTTCTTATGATGGTTTAAACCCATAGTCCGGCTTTTTAAGTACAAGTTTGTTCAAATGCTAGATTTTTAGGATCAGTTTTAATTTTTTTAGTTCTAATAACTGGGTATTTAAATTAGAAGCAACTAGTTTCCTTTCTTAACGATTATGTGCAGTGTGTTTCAATATCCTCTTGCTTTGTAGATGGACAGAGCTAGCTTTAAATCTCAAAGGGACACACAGTAGATTATTAACGGCTAGAGCGACTGCTCTGCTGAAATTTTAGGAACTCAGCAGATCACATAATGACAAGTCCTCACAGATAGCACTTCCTTTCGAACCTCTGTTCAAGTTGTGATAAGAGTACTCAGTTCAAGATAGTGCACAGACCCAACGTCTACCTTGGAATTTTGCTGTTAGACCCAGGCACTCACTGCTGCAGGTATTGTCAGGCTGTTTGAACTGGAGGTGTAGATCTCCTTTTCCAGTTTTTGACTCGCCAGTCCTGCTGTGGGTTTGCAGCCTTTTAGTTTGCTCCATTACAAATCCCTTTCTCCTCCACTATCTAGCTGTGCCCAGAATGTTGGCAGCCAACAAATGCTTCCTCTGGGCCCCTGGGGTGCTTTCCACCCACCTGCAGCACTCAAGAAGGGGGAGTTAGGATAAAGCATCTGAATACAGTCTTGAGGGGCTCAAGCAGGCTTCTTAGAGACTTATTTCTGAACTGGTGTCTTGCCTTCACCTTCCCTGTAGCTGGCCAAGAAGAGTGGAGCATGGTGAGGGTGAAGACGCTACTTGTCCACTGAGAGCAGACAAATTAACAAAGCCTAGTGAGACTGCTTTGTTTCTGGATTTTCTCTGGACTCTTGAGAGAAGCTATAGAAGTGTTGCTTTCTAGCCTTTTGTTTCTGGATTCTCAAAACTCTGAAAGATTCTTCAGAGTGGTAGAAGGGAGAAGAGCTCAGTGCCACATACCAGGCTTCGGGATGTGACACCTGCTGTTTTCTAGGATCGCGTAGCGTGCAGGTTTATCTCCACCCCTTTTAGTGCACACACACACCTACTCACATGTCTTCACTCAGGCTCTAGGGCTGGGGGACTTCATGAAGCATTCATGGATAGGTTTCAAGAGGGTATGAAATCGTATGCAAGTACGTGTTCTTTTTTTCCAGGAAGAGCTCCAGGGGTTCTTACTGGATCCAAAAAAAAAAAAAAAAAAAAAGCTAATCTAAGAGCTACTACTAAATAACGAATGGCCCCAAAAGCTGTTTACTTCTATCCTTGTGAATAGGAAGACTTTTTGACCAGACTATTGATGTTTGCATGATACCTGAGAGAGAAAGGAGAAGATTCTCTTGCATAAAATGTATTTGTGCCGTTTCTGTATGCGATTAAGAAGCTTTCTTACCTCTCCTCCTCATTTCTTGTATGGATGAGCAGGGAAGCCAGGCTGTCATGTGGGTTTGGGAAGGGGGATTTCCCAGGAAAGCTGTCAGAAATTATTACTACACCTGGCATTTTATTCAGGGCTGTCGTGAAGCTGCATTTCTGTGTTGATTGGTCAGTGTGTTAAGACAGTCTTGCATACTCTGTTATGCATAGGTGCTCTTCTGTCCTGCCTGAGGACATGTCTGAAAAGATGAGCGTGGTGGAGCCTTTGGACAGCAGGAAGGGGATATGTGAGGTGTTGGGCAATCGTGGGGAACCTTTGAAGGTATGATAGAATCAGTAACAACTGATTTGGGTTTAATTTTGGTAGAATTGTGCATAGTCTATCTGCCTTTGTGTGTGCAGGGTGAATGTTCCTTGGACGTGTGTATGCGCGTGGGCACCTATACCTGTAATGCTTTTCCTCATTTCACACACGCACACAATTTGAGGCCATGGTAATAATGTCTTTGTTTCAAGAATGTGTGAAATTCTTTTATTGCAGGTTAGTGTGTTATCCTAAGTGCACTATTTGAGCCCTCTGTTTAGAAATAAAGGCACCATAAGCATCTTGGCTGCTTATGGTTGTGTTATTACTTTTAGGGGTCTTGAAAGGTATGCAGAACTTTGACTATTTTTTGTCTTTTACAGTGTCTTAACTGATGCTAGCCCTCTGTCTTCACTTAGAGAAGAGGGGTGGCTCAGGATTTTGCCTTGACTTGGTATTTAGTGCTTAATGAAGGAAGGTGTTAACATGACCTGACAAAACCCAACTCATTTCTTGTAAGGAGTTGGAGGCCATTTTTAGAATGTTATCTTTAATTGCCTGTGCCTACTTCTAACGGCTAGAAGCCAAGAAAACTGTGGTTATCAGTCCTTTTGTGTGCTTATGCTAGCGTTTTAATGGCAGTTTGTTATGACAAGCTATCAGTCACTTCAAGTTTTATCCCAGAGTTTTTAATCAGGTTCAAAACTTATTTTGGCACTCCTCTACTCAGTTAGAAAGCAGTTAAGCACCTAAGAGCAAAGAATTATCTCCAACTGATGTTACTTGAAACTGAGGAAACGCCATTGCTACTACAGTCCTACTTTTGTGGGGAAAATATTTTTCTGCCTCAGAAGTGAGCAGTTGAGTGTTTAGCTCCTGACCTTCCTGTAATTTATCGGCAATATTATCGCTGTTCACGTGATTGTTTGTCTAACAGAGGGGGCTTTTTTGTTTTTGTTTTGGGGTATTGTATACAGTAGACAACTTTAGTGAGTAGGTATGTGGACAATGTGGTGGGAGTAGGTATACAACACTTAGTGGAATGGTACAGTATATTTTATGGAAAAGAATTCATCGGAGGGGAGATCAAAGTATCTTGTGAAGTGGGATTTAAACAGCACATATCCTCTTGGTTTGCTCAAATCACTATAATTTGTATGCGCATACTTAAAAATTTTGTTTCTGCTACCAAAAGGAGACCTCCTAAAACTGTTACATATAAAGGCCATGCCTGCCACATGTGTAAAATTGTGATTTCATCCCTGCCCCAAATGATCACGATTTTCAGGATTTCAGAGAAGCCGTCTAATGGATATGATAGAAGCCATGATGGAGGTGGTTTGGGTTGTATGAGTTCCACATGCAAGTGGATGTGAAATCTTGGTGTAAACCAAACATAATGCTTACCAGACAGTAACCTCTAACCTCACCTCCAGCCCCCAAGTCTGTGGCCCTGCTGGGTCACATGACAACTGACTCCTAGTTTTGCCCTAAATTCAAGGCCTTAGCCCAGTTGAATCAGTGGGGGAGGAAGTTAAGGAGGAAAGGCTGTTGAAGATCTTTCTTCTCCTTAAGAGAAATATATGCCCTAGAGCTGCTCCAGTACCCTTGGTCTCTGAATTTTTTTATATATTGAATATGGATTAGAAGAATGAAATCAGATGACATTTGACTGCAAAAATGTTTATAAGCAAATAGCTTAGCCTTCTTACATTTTGGTATAAAGCTGTGAACTTCATAACTTTGTAAAGCAAGATATAAAGCAAATACAAGAGGAAAATAAAGTACTTTTACTAATTGTTTACTTTTCCTACCTTATCTGGATATTAATAGCCCACCCTTTCTTTTCCATGTTGGAACAGACAGTAAGAAGAAAACTGGGTGGGAAACACAAGATGGTTATAGATACGCCACAGACCACGATCCAGATAAGTTTGGCAAACAGCTACATTTATGGATTTGTCCAAGGTCGTAAAACAGGTTAGTTAGTTAATGGAAGAGCAAGATTAAAACTACATCTCTGGGGTTCGAGATGGCTGTGTAGAAGACCCTGGGTTCACCTCCTCCCAGGTATAACAACAAATTTACAGCTATAGAGGGAATAATTTTCCTCTGTAAAGGACCTGAGGACTAGATTAACAGCACCTCCAAAAGAAAAGATACAAGAGATGCATTGAGACAGGTAGGAGAGGCAGAAACTCATTCACCCTCTGGATCCTACCTGAGGTACAGCCACCCACTATTGGGAAGGGATCCGAAAAATAGAGCTTTCCCTTGAGGAGTGAAGGGAGTATGCCCCACTTTAGGCACCCAGACCCTTGTGTCTGGCACCAGAAAGACAGACTCTCAAAACACCTGATGTTGAAAATCAACAGGGATTATGTCCAGGGAGACTACAGAACTGTAGGGAACAAAGAATCTACTGTTAAAGGGCTCACATGCCCACCCACTCATCCTGAGATCCAGTGCAAAAATAATTTGAAAAGTGCCCAGACTCTGACAGAGGGAGAGACCCACTTGCTAATCCTAAAGTGGCAAACAGGCAAGAACCTGCAGTGACTTTCTCTGGGGATAGAAGCACTGGCTGGTGCCATTTTTGCAATCTTCTAACCAGCTGGTGACAGAGCTGGTGGGCACCATTTTTGGTGCTCACCCTGTAGCCTCCTAGCACTGGTGAGCATACTCCGTGTGCCACTGAACCGATGCAAGCAGCCACACCACAAAGGGGCCAGGTGAGTACACTGCAACTGGGCTGAGCATGTTCCACCCTCCCTGTGCAGCAGCTGTGCCCCAACCAGATGGACTCAATAGATACACACAGAACGTTCCAGTCAAGCAGCAGAATACACATCCTTCTCAAGTGCACATGGAACAGTCTCCAAGATCGATCATTAGCTAGGCAACAAAACAAGTCTCAATGAATTCAGGATTGAAATCCTATCAGGCATCTTCTCCAACTACAATGGTATGAAACTAGAAATCAAATACAAGAAAACTGGAAAAACTAGAAAACTGGAAAAACACAAAAATAGGGACACTAAACAATATGCCGCTGAACAATCAGTAGGTCATTGAAGAGATCAAAGATACATATCTATATCTATATATATCTTATATGTATATCTCATATATATGATATATATATCATATATATGAGATATATATCGTATATATATATAAGATATATATATATCTTAGGTTTATATATATATAAACCTAGAGACAAATGAGAACAGAAGTAAGACCTACCAAATTCTGTGGGATGCATCACAGGCCTACCTCAAGAAAAATAAAAATCCCAATCTAATATTCTAGTTAAAATAACGTATAAAAAGAAAAAACAAAGCCCAAAGTAAGTAGGAGGGAGGAAACAAATATCAGAGTGGAAATAAATGAAATAGAGACTGCAACGCAGTAGAAAGGTCAGTGACTGAGAGCTGCTGCATTGACAAGATAAAACTGACAAACCTTTAGCCACACTCACCAAGAAAAAAAGGACTCACAATCAGAAAGAAAGGGAGGAGACATTGCAACTGATACCACAGAAGTATAAATTTAAGAGACTATGAACACCAACAAATTTGACGACTTGGGAGAGATGGATCAATTCCTAGAAACATACCACCTACCGATGCTGAATCAAGAAGAGATAGAAAATCTGAACAGACTGGTTACTAGTAAGGAAACTAAATCAATAATCAAAAACCTCCCAACAAACAAAAGTCCAGGACCAGATGGCTTCAGTGGTGAATTCTACCAAACATTCAAAGAAGAATTAATACCCATTCTTTAAGAAGAATGGGTAGTAATTCTCAGATTCTTCAAAACAAACAAAAAACAGGAGGAGGGAACACTCTCAAACTCATTTTACAAGGCCATTATTACCCTAATGCCCAAACTAGACAAGGATGCCACTAGAAAATTACAAGCCAATATTCCTGATGAAGAGACATTCAAAAATCCTCAACAGAATACTAGCAAATCGAATTAATACATTAAAAGGATCATGTCTTGGGGTGCTTGGGTGGCTGAGTTGGTTAAGCGTCCAACTTCAGCTCAGGTCATGGTTTCACAGTTTGTGGGTTTGAACCCCAGGTCGGGTTCTGTGCTGACAGCTCAGAGCCTGGAGCCCACTTCAGATTCTGTGTCTCCTTCTCTCTCTACTCCTCCCCCACCCATGCTCATGCGCATGCACTTTCTCTCAAAAATAAACATTTTTAAAAAGGAATCATATCCCCCCCAAAATAAAAGGATTGGGGCACCCAGGTGGCTCAGTCGGTTGAATGTCTGACTTTGGCTCAGGTCATTATCTCAGTTCATGGGTTCAAGCCCTGCACCCGGCTCTGTGCTGACAGCTCAGAGCGTGGAACCTGCTTCAGATTCTGTGTGTCCCTCTCTCTCTGCCCCATCCCCACTCATGCTCTGTCTCTCTCTGTCTTAAAAATAAATAAAACGCTAAAAAAAAAAAATAAAAGGAGGGGCACCTGGGTGGCTCAGTCGGTTAAGTGTCCGACTTCAGCTCAGGTCACGATCTCGCGCTCCA